TGCTTCCTAAAAACTGACCTCAAAAACTTAAGAATGAATTCAGGTCCCTTGCCAATAATTAGCCAAATGCATCACATAATCCATGACTTTATTTGAGCCTAAGCATGTTTTGGCCTGTCTTTATTTGCAACCTACATGGCCTCACTAGTCATCCACCTTTAGAGGGTGTATTTAGAGGCTTTGTGTGGGGCCAGGTGCAGTGGCTCATGCCTGTAATCCCAGCACTTTCGGAGGCTGAGGCAAGTAGATTGCTTGAGCCCAGGGATTTGAGACCAGCCTGGGCAATGTGGGGAAACCCTATTTTTATATATATATATATATAAGCTGGGTGTGGTGGTGCACGCCTGCAGTCCCAGCTACTCAGGTGCAGGGATTGCTTAAGCCCAGGAGGTCAAGGCTGCAGTGAGCCATGATCACACCATTGCACTCCAGCCTGGGTGAAAGAGAGAAATCCTGTCTCAAAAAAAAAAAAAAAAAGGCTTTGAGTAACTATCCCAAGGCATTTGAGTCCTGAAGATTAGAAATCATCCTCATAGCCTTTCCAATGGAGTAACACTTTTGGTGTGCTTTGAAATTAAAAAGTGGAAAATGCTTCCCTCAGATTGTGAGAGCCTTTACAAATGTATATTTGAACAATTTTTAAGCTGCTGTACCTCAATAATAAAATGTTTCCTGGCTACTCATTAAGTTTTAAATTTCAATTACTAGATTTTCATTTCTAAAAGTTCAATTTTATATTTTTCAAATCTGCTGCAATTTTTTAATACAATTTACTGTATCCTGGGTTTAAAATTGTCTTTTATTTCTTTAAACTCTGTAGGTATAGTTATTGAGCCTCTATTTGATCATTTCTGTATTTGGGGTCTCTGCAAGTCTGTTTCTGCCATCACTTGTTTCTGCTGGCTTTTGTTTCTCCTGCTCTATTTCTTTGGTTACTTATTTATTTATTTATTTATTTATTTACCGTGATTTGTTGCTCATTGCTTAGATAATTATTTGTTAGGTTTCTTAAGATCTAGGATAAAATCCAGAGAGGATATGTGTTTGTTTCTGCCAGGTGAGTAAATATACTACAAATATGGTATGACTTTATACTAAATTTATAGCTTGAGTTTTTTTTTTCCATTCAATTAGTGAGAATTTGACTCAAAATCTGAGTGATGATAAGCAGATGGATATCATCAACAATCTTGAATTTATTTCAGCAATATTAAACTAATCAGCAATATTAACTTTATTTCTTCTACTTTTTTCAGTCTCAAGACAATTTTCATTTTAGGTTTCTGGGAGTGGAAATATTGAACGGGTTTATATTTATTTCAACCTTAGATGAATATTGAGCCCTTTGGGGTCAGAGGGTTTTGGTTTTATAGGCATTGGTCCCTTATTAGACTCCTCACTTTAGGATGAATTGGGATTTGGCTTCTGTTCCCCTTGCCCTCTGAGACATTAATACCCAAAGCACAAGATCAATCAGTTAAGATGCCCTCAGGGCAAGAGCAAATTCATTTGGCTTACCTTTCTGGATTTCTGGTTTCCTTTAAATTATGATTTGCTGATTCCATATTATCTTGTGAGATATTTGATGCTTTCAAAAATATTTTATCTATTATCTTTTGTTGTTTATCTTAGGCTGTTTTGTTCTGAATTATTTAGCCTGCTGTATTGCCAGAAATCAAAGATGTCCCTTTAAGATATAAAAAAGTTTATGTCGTTTATTTTTAAAAGTTCTACTAGACTTTGAATTTATTGATTAATTTGGAGAGAATTTATATCCTTATAAGTTCACCTTATCCAGGAGCCTAGAATATGTATTCATATATCCAACATATTTTCTAGATCTTTTATTAGAGTTTGAACATTTTCTCCATAGAGGTCTTGTGTACTCTTAGTTAACATATTTCTTTATTAAATGCTGTATAGCTTTTCTTGCTATTGTGAGTGCTATCTTCTCTTCGATTCAAATTCATAGTTTTCATTGCTATTAAATATTATTACTTAGCTTGTATCAGGCAACACTGTTGAGTATCCTAATGGTACATCTCTTGGTTCTATTGTTTTACTTTCAAGTAGGTGATTATGTAATCTACAAATAATAATAGTTCTATTTCTTCCCTTATAATTCTTACAGTCCTTATTTCTTTTTCTTTTGTTTTTTGAGACAGGGTCTCTCTCTGTTGCCCAGACTAGAGTGCAGTGGAGTGATCACAGCTCACTGTAGCCTTGACCTTCTGGGATCAAGTGACCCTCCCACCTCAGTCTCCCAAGTGACTGGGACTACAAGAATGTGCCACCATGCTGGTTAATTTTCTGTATTTTTAGTAGAGATGGGATTTTGCCATGTTGCCCAGACTGGTGTGGAACTCCTAGACTTAAGCAATCTGCCCTCTTTAGCTTCCCAAAGTGCTGGGATTACAAGTGTCAGCCACTGTGCAGAGCCTATTTCTTTTTCTTATCTTATAGCATTGGTCAGGACTTCCAATCCTATGTTAAACAACAGTCATGGTAAAATAGAGAATCTTTGTCTTATTTCCAAACCCAAAGGAAATACCCCAGCATTTTGTGAAGCATTAGTTCCTGCATTTGATCACTTTCCCCAAAAACTAGATAGAGTGGTTTCTGCTACCTGAAACTAAAACCTGTTTGATGCCAAAGGAATATAGAATGAGAATTTTTCTGTGATTATAGAATCAGCATCGAAGGGCTCAAAGATAAAAACAACAAAGCACGAAGTACCCCACATTCTAAAAATAGCTGAAAATACTTGAAGTCAAATATCACAACCAAAGCTTGTTTGTGGCTCCTGGAAGAGTTCACCTACCCCTAATCCTCACCCTTGTATTCCCAATTCATGTCTCTGATAATTAAGCAGAAAGACTGGGGAAGAGAAGAGAATTAATTATCAAAATACAGCATTTATTGTGAGGAGTGATTCTTCTCCTTCCCAAGCCAAATGAAGGAAGAGGCTCAACATAATCACATAAAGACTGGGAGTGCTTACACAAAGGGAAAGTTGGTTGAGATAACTGTCTAGGCTGCAGGCCTGTTGGTAAACCTGTGCCTCCCTATGAAGGGGAGAAAACCTTTTTAAGTCTGTCAGTTCTTTCTCTGCTAACCCCCATCACCCTCTGTGCACATGGGAATTTGCTTCTGCGCCAAGTTCAAGTGCAGGTGTGATGCCATCCCCAGTAAATCACACTAGCATTTCTTCTCTGTTTTTTCATCAGGTTGAGCGCAGAGAATCCCTAGGGCTCTGTGACTTTCCCAGGCCCTCCCAGGGAAAGGACACATTAGTCCCTCAGCAATCAGATCACCCAAATTTCCTGAGGGGTTTTATCCCCCAGCCTTTCTAACTTGGCCTGAGGAGAAGGCAGAGCAGGATCAATTCTCAGGAACTCACCAGCATCTAAATTATCTTTGTCTTTTCCTATCTCTCTTTATTCTCCCCTAGTCTGGTAAACATTATCTAATATAGTAAACATGAGGGTTAGGGACTAAAACAAAGACTATTATATTCTTCAAAACTGATTCTACTTATTTTCTTAAATTATGTCTTTATTTTTTTTCTGTGTTCTCTTGATAGTTAGGCTTTTGAAATTTAAAATCTGATAATTGACTATAGCATTCTGCTGAATGTTTATTCCTCTTTGAAGCAATGAAAACTATAAAGTCTTATAGTCAAAATCACAATGGGTTACCAGGGGAAAAAGGGAGAATTTTACCCTGCAAAACTTTTCAGCAAACTTACATATAACTGAGCAAGGTAAGGATGTAAACTGGTCTCCCCAAATCTCTATCCCCAAAAGAGAAAAAGCATCAACAAACCACTCCCGAATAAAAGTCACAAACAGGGAAGGGAGGTGCTTGGGTGCTCTTACTTTCATTAATGGTTTGTTTGCTAAAAGTTGTACTGGTTTTGGACCAAAAAAGGACACTTCTATTCATTCTCATCAAACTAAGTTTAAGGTTGGTCTTTACGATAGTACATTAGGCCAGAACCATTCTACTCATTTCAGATTCCTTAGGGCCAAATTTACTGGAGATTGCTTAATAAGCGTTTATTAAATTAACCAGAAGAGCAGGCTAAAAGCAGTCAAAGACAACTGCCTTAAGGCTTCATCTAAGATTCAGAGCCCAGTAGGTTAGCAAATAACCGTGGAGGATTGATTCCAGGACTCTGATGGATATTAACATCCATGAATGCTCAAGTTCCTAATATAAAATGGCATAGTATTTGCATATGATCTATGTACATTCGCCTATGTAGGTAATATCTAGATAACTTATAATACCTAATATCGTGTAAATATGATGTAAATATGTGTTGTACTGTGTTGTTTAGGGATTAATGACCAAAAAAAGTCTGTACATGTTCAGTACAGATGCAACCATCCATTTTTTTTCCAAATATTTTTAATCTCTGGTTGGTCGAATCCACGGATGTAGAACTCACAGTTACAGAGGGCCAACTGTACTTTAGATACAAGCATCAATACAAATAACAGCCTATTACAGATAAGCCCCGTCTGCCCTAAGGTAGCCTCTGAGGCCCATCTGTCAGATTTCTCAGAACCCGATTTCCTATGTGTCAGTACCCTGGGAGAATGCAAGTTCTCATGATGCTAATTCTTGCTTTATCTGCAGACTGGAACACTTAATTAACAGTCTATGCCCAGCACAACTTGTGGGAGAGAACAGGGGTTGTAAATACGTGAACATTAGCTTTTCTCTTGGTCTGGACTGTAGGAGACCCAGAACATCAAAACTGTAGGAAGAAACTTGGACCCAGTTACCAAGGACCTCTAGGTGAGTTGGAGACCTCACTGGACATCGTCCACATGTTTTATTGTAGAAAGAATACTGGGGCTGCTAACAAAGAGCTGTAAAGTTTGGCTTCTTGTTGGACTGTCATTAACCTGACTTGCAATTTGATGGCTATCATGGAATCTCTGTCTGCTCCTTTACTTCTATCCATAAGAAAAGTCACACTCACTGGTTGTTGTTTGCTATTTACTTGCAGTTCCACTTATACAATTATCAGCTTACTTTTACCAAATATGTAGACCTTTTTTTTTTTTTAACCATCTAGCGTCTAGAGCTCACAATACAGAGTTTTGTGAAATACGGTGCCTATGAGAATTTTCCCACGGTACACGGAAGCCACAGAGGTGCCCTGAAGCACAGAGCCATTGTTGGCATACACGGTGCTCACCCTGGGTTTCTCAGACAAAACATTCTGGATGCGAAGTACCTGTAAAGAAAAAATCACTTATTAGTATATTATGTGAGTAAACAGCTGTTTCATGATGTTGTCCTTCCCAAACATTCCAGGATGAATCTATTTTTCAGAAATCAGAAGCTAAAATCTGTATATCTTCAATAACTTGTTCTTCTTCTGATGAAAGTACTAATGTCATAAAGATATCTATGCACCAAAGTGAACTGGCTTTCTGACATTAGCCAAATTCCTCAGGGATGACTTACACAATATTTATAGTGCAGGCATCCCTTACAGAAGGAGTTAAGACCCAGTAGATGCTCTTATTTAGTTCTCAAGTGGATAGCAGTCATCCCTCTGTGGGAAGAATCTTACCTTTGAGATTACAGTATGGGGAGAGAAACAAGACAAAATAATGAAGAAACAACCAGTTATCCAGTCAACCCAACCTGATGGGATGGCAATCATCACAACTGGAGCCCCTTCACATCTGCAAAGTGGCTAGAAAGCATAAATAATGGATACTACTTTGGAATTCCATCTGACACATCACTGCCTAGTACTGTTATTGATCCCAGGATTAATACACTTAACTTTGCTAATCAGTATATATTTAAAAACTCAGGCTTCCAAATAGCCTGGATGAAGTTCACTCAAACAAAATACGATAGGAATTAAAGGAAAACAATTACAAATTTATGAGGTATGAGTCTATATTGATATCTCTTATTAGAATTGAGTTTGTTCTCTTTTTTTTTGTCTTAAGGGAGATCCTTCATCTCAGGTTTGTTACACAAAAATACTTAAGCTTTGATTTCATGTAGAAAACATGAGATTCAACCGAAAGTAAAGCGTGTCATAATTGTGACAAAAAAGTCTTATCTAAAATTTTAAAAATAATTCAACTTGAAAATAGAGATATGAAAAAGATCCTAAATAATTTTCCAATAATCCTATGTATCATATTTCATTTCCTTAAGGCAGACATTGTGGTTGAGCTTTTGAAGGAAAGTTTTGTCTATCACTCTTAGGGGTATATATCTGAGGCAAGGATTGCTTCCTAGTTTAAGGTAACAATTCTGGTTCTAGGCTTAGGCTGGACTTGTGTTTCTTTTTACATTTCTTGTGTTCTTTTTAAGAAGCTGTGACTAATACATTAATAAAAAAAGAAAAAATCATATTTTTAACTGAAAAACAGCAATATTGGAAGTAGAAATAACTGTATGTCCTAATTTACCCACTAGACCAATTACCGGGTTTGAATTTGAATTTCATTTTCCCAAATCCCCAAATATGGATTCACACATTTTAATTTTTTTCAAACTGTACTTTCTCAATGAGGCCTACCCTGATCTCTGACTTTAGTAGTAGGACTTGCCCATCCTCCTGAATATAGTAATCCTGATCCCCTTTACTTTGCTGAGCCTTTTTTCCCATAGAATTTGCCATCTTCAAAGTTACTATGTAATTTACTTATTTCTTATGCTTATTGTTCATTGTTTGTCCCCCTTTCTTCAGATCAGGGATCTCTGTATATTTTTTCTGATATATCCTAAGCATAAGAACAATGTGTGACACAACATAGGTACTCAATAAATTTTTGTGAATAAATTTCTGAGTATGTGTGCCTAGAATTTATAACTATATATAAATTCATTAAAGATTTTTAAATTGTTAACCTTAATGCCATAGAAAATGTACTATCTTATAATGTTGTTTTTAATGTAGAAAATTCAATGGATTATGCTATTGTTTTAGAAGAGATATTTTAAAATAACATAAATGATATCTTGAAAATAAGACAATTTTCAACACCATCATATAGGTTAGAACTTGCAGGCAAAAACTCATTTTATTTTGAGATGACAGTTATTTAAATCCTTTTATCTGAGCATCATGTTGAACAGTGTGAAAGAAGATGGTACCATATATAACTCTCTGTCTAACTGCAAGACCTGCTCAGAGACTATCTCTTGATTGGAAACATGATATGGCAATCTGGGTCAATATGAATAATTGAGCTTATGTTTTTCCATTATTCCCAATAGCAAGAGTTATTGAAGAGTTAATGGTGGTCTAAAAGAGTTAACGAACCTTATCTCCCTACCTGTCAAAAGCTTTAGTTTTCTCATATGTAGAATTTCTTTAGTTCTGTAACACCACATACAACCGGCTTAAATTCTAGTCACCCCAACAAATTTGTTCTTGCAGCTTTGCCTGTGAGCTCAGAGAGGCATAGGAACTTACTTCTGATCCTGGAGGGTCCTCAGGGTTATAGATCAGCAGCTTCATAGGATTAGGATGGCATCCTGCCAAAATGTCTCCCGTGGCAGGATCGACAGTCAGGTTATCTACTAAGGTGCCCAACTGTATCACCTTACAACAAAGAGGGAGTAGTGAAGACATTGTCTCAACAATTCTCTGCTTTCTTCCCTATTCATCCCCACAACCCCTACAGCTCCTTCTGGCACCTAAAATTGGTATTTTTAGGGGGCTTTGCTTCTGTATTTTAGAAACGCATGCATAATCTCACTGGCATTGCTCTCAAACAGCCGTGTTTTCCTCATTCAAGGGGCACATTCCTGGGTCAAGTATGGGACTAAGGTAAGAAGTCAGATTGTGTGGGCCAGACAGGGTACTCTTACCTTCAGTTGAGTTAAATCCCAGTTATCATGTTTTTCCATTATGTGAATGTTCTTAGCTGCTACATCAGCTACATAGACATACCTTTGAAGTAAATGACATTTACACTTAAGCAAGTGGTAATGAGAGACAACACTCACTTTCATTTTGGAGAAGAGGTATAAAAATTCACACTCCTTCAAAGTACAACTGCAATCCTTTTCAAAACCACAGTTAAATAAGATAATGGAGTAGTATTTTTTAATATTCTTGAAGTACTTTAAACAGGCTTTGAATATGAGTTATGACCATAATGAAACTGGTGTTTCTACATTACATATATAGGCTCAATCTTATTACTTCAAAGTCACAACTTTTTCCTTAAATTGAATGAAAGTAAGTGAATCTCCTATTAGGCCAAAAGTATATATACTTCTAAAAACTAGTGCTTGAAAAGAAGTATCAAATGACCATAAAATTCAGTCACAATATTTGAAAAGAGGAAGGACACTGAAAGGTGTTTTCTACAGGGATCATCTCTGTTCATTATCTCAAATACACATGTTAATATTCAAGGTACTTCTCTTTATTTAAAAAAACCTTCAATTTTTAAACCCTTTTAAAAAGTGTTTTCTCATAAAATTTCATGCTGTTTAAAATAGTGTTTTCTCATTGAATAGTCTGCTATTGTAAGTCAGTAAGTCTGAAACTTCTATAATCCCTATGCCCAATCTAAGGTAGCCTTCCCTCTCTCCTAAGAGCTTTTGTGTAACTGAACTTAGCATAAGTGGTCAAATACTTTCTAGTCTCATAAGGGGCAGAAGTATTGCTCATTTATCTTCCTTTTTAGTGGGTTAGGAAAGTGTGTTTCAAGAGTTATGTAAAAATTTGGAATGAGGTCCTTTTATGCTTAAGTCCACGTCCCTCCTTTAACTAGGAAGAACCTGAAGTCCAAGGAAATAAATGGATTGCTTAGGATCACAGATTTAGTGCAAATGCTGGCCACAACTGATCCCTCCACACATATATTCACTATGTAAGCCTAAGTAAGGAAGTAACTACCTCGTAAGGAAAGGAGTCCACCAAAAAGTCAAGGGCAAAGGATAGAAAAATACATACAAGAGCTTACTTCTGGTCTGCTGAGACTGTGATCCCATTGGCACTACAAAATCCTTTGGCCACCACTTTAACCTCTCTTGGGCTGTAGAAAAGAACATAAGTCCAGCGAAGATCCAAGATCATCTCAAATAATGACAGGAAGGAGTTGGTAAAATAGTGGTCTCTGGTGGCATAGAACTGTTCTGGTCCAAGTACCACAATGTCATTCACACTAAAGTGAAAGAGAGGTGGAAAAAGAGACCCATGAGTTATTTAAATATCCTTTATCCTTGTCAAAATCACTCATATCTACATAGACAAATATGTTCATCAATTTGAAAAAGGATACATGAACTAGTATGGATTAAGGAATTCCACAGAAAGTCATGATTCTGCATTGCCCTCATGGGTTTTCTTTAGTCATTTATTATTTTCTCACTCTTCCCTTTCACAGAAGTCAGTGAAAAGAAATAAATTCACAAATCAATCTCAAACTCCAAAATCTGTTGACTTGTACATGTTGATCATGGTTATCTGTGACAGTTGTAGTGCAGTTCACTGATAGCCATGGTTATCCTCCTTCAGGAATTACACTTCCCCATCCCCTTGCAGTTAGGCACAGCCTAACTTGCTTTGGCCAGTGAAATGAAATGAAATGAAATGAGGTGAGTGGCTTGTAGATGGAAGATTTTAAGAACCAGTGCTTGCTTCACCATGTTTCCCCCATGTTCCCACAGTAATGATAGAGACTGTGGTCCTCCTAGGGCCCTGAATGAGGATAATATGAAACTGAGTTCCTAAATAACCTACACTGGATACATAGCATGTATGAGCAAACAAAACAAACCTTGGCAGTTTTGAGCCATCAGGATGTTAGGGTTTTGCTGTCCTGTTATCAGAGCATAACCCAGTTCATCTGGACCTTTATATTTTCTCTGAGTAGATGGAATTATGAGTGATATTCTTTCTTACATTCTTCAATATCATTGACATTTTAAAATGGAGCAAGTCTTGTTCTTACAATCAGTAAGAACAATAAAGTCATTTTTATTTTTGAAAAGAAAAAAGTGACTTGAAAAAATAATGCTTAAACATTTTTAGATTAAATTTTAGGGAGGAAAATTTGGGTGAATCAGGAAATACTTTGAGGTTTTGATATATAATGACTTTCCCGAAGTCACCGGGCTACTCACCTTTTGCATCTCAGCTTAAGCATTCCTTACTCCAAAAAGTATTGCCTGACACCATAAATTAGGTTAAAGTGCCTCAAAATTTGTTTCTGTAGCTCTCTGTTCTGCCCCCTTGTAAGTGCTTATCAATGCCTGTGCCAGTGTACATACCCTCAGGCTCCTCTTTAGATCCTCATAGCCTCACCTGCCTTGTTCCAGCTGCTATTATTTCAACCAGTTCTGCACGGGTCTGACATACTTCCCACAGAGGCAGCCTAGCAGTGTCTCAGCTCATGCCTGCTGTGGGCCTCTTGCCTCCCACTTCCAGACTTCATGCTGACATCGAGTCATAGGATACCACAAAACTAGACTTGCACGTGCACAACAACCAAGAATGTGGGAGAATGAAGGCCTCTTGAGGCAAACCTTTGACTAACAGGAGATGGGGCCAGTGGATAAACCCTTCTCCCTTTTTCTCCTCGACCAGATTGTCCTGAGATGCAGCTTGCATTGATTACTGGAGGATAAGCCCATGATTTCAAGCAGTCAGTTGCACTTAGCAGTGGTTGGCTTAATGACGCCTTTGCTGGACCTCCCTCACTGTGTGTTTCCTAGGGCTGGCACAGCAAAGAACCACAAACTCAGTGGCTTAAACACCAGAAATGTATTGCCTCACAATTTTGGAGGCTAGAAATCCAAAACCACATTGTTGGTAGGGCCATGTTATCTCTGAAGGTTCTAGGGAAGGATCCTTCCTTGCCTCTTCCAGCAAGACATTCCAGTAGTCCCAGGCATTCCTTGGCTTGTAGATACATCACTCCAATGTCAGTATCCATCTTCACATGACATTCTCCCTGTATATCTGCCTGTCTTCTTGCAAGGACACCAGTTCTACTGCGTTAAGGGTACTCTATTTCAGCATGATTTTATCTTTACTAATTACATCTGCAATGACTCCATTTCCAAATAGTGTCACCTTCTGAGGAAGTGGTGGTTGGGATTTTAACATATTTTTTGGTGGGGGGCAGAGCAGGGAGGGCAGGGGGACACAAAATTCAACCCATAACATTCTCCCTTCCTTGCCTCACACTGGTTTCTTAAGTCTGCTTCCTGGGATTGTACTCCCTAATGAAGTGGCCACATATCAGGTGTGCCCTCAGGCTGCACTTTCTGGGAGACTGTTCCTGTGAGATCCTATGCTAATGCAGTTGATCCTCACAATCCACCAGTTATGTAAGTCAGGCAAATGAGAACCCCCATTTTGCTCAATAAATTGAGGCACCAATTAAGTGACTTGACACAGTTTCCCAGCAACCCTGTGGAAGTCCTGTTCTCCACTATGGCCTCAGAACCCAGCACAGTGCATTAGGAGCAGAGTTCAATAACTTCAACCTCTCTTACTTCTACCCTCTGCATTTGTTTCCCTCATATTCTATGGGGAGAAATTAACACATGATGTTGAGAAAGAGAGCAAAGGAGAGAAGATGAACTTTCTTTTCTATTCCTATTCTTCCATCCCATGAAATAGTTTACTGTTTTGGAGCCAGTTTTTTTAGTGTTAAGCCCATTTGGTAAAAGATGAATTCTTTATTGTTTGCTACAGCCTTTAAACAGGCAGCCTGTCCACTGAAAAGCCTGTTATTTTAATGAATGCAGGAAGAAAGATGTTCTTTGCAACTGAGAGCTCAGCTTTGAATTCAGATGGATATAGGTTTACACCCTGTTTCTGCCACTTACAAACTGTGTAACTTGGGCAAGTTACCTAACCCAAACCTTCTCTAAGTCTTAGTTTACCCATGCCTATTATTAAAGGCTTTGTGAGAATTAAGTTAAATTAAGTATTCTAGCATAGTGCCTGGCACATAGTTGATGCTTAACAAATGTATTTTTTATAAGTGCCCACGGGCTTTTAAAAAATTCTACTTTAAAGCTGTAATTAAACAAAGAAGTGGCTCCTCTGGAGGTTGGTTATAACACCCGGTGGGCGAGGCTCACAGAACACAGCCTACCAGGACAACCAAAAAAGGGCGTAGGTGTTTAAACAGAGACCGATAGTAGGTATTGAGTTGCTGTGGTAAAGGGGATGGAATTAGAGCTGCGAATCTAATTGAGCACCTTTATAGGATTAAAATGCTTTCAAAATGCTGGAAAATAAAGGCATATTCAATACCTAACAGGCAATTTCTAGTGAGGTGCTGGGAAGAGTCACCATGGGAATCATTAGAAAGCTTTAGAAAAAAATCTAAAACAATTTCAAAACAAAAGTTTAAGAAAGCCTGCTGAACCAAAGAAAACAAAGCACACAGCAGAGGTGCAAAATAAATAGAACTGCATAATACTTTCATTCCATACCTTTTGAGAAGTTCGTGTTTTATAGTTTTCAGGTATACCAGAGAACGTTGTTGTTCCTCGAATTTAAATATCTCCACAGTGGACTTCATGTGGGGATGATTCACAACATAAAGATACACTGTATGGTCTACATGGAAAAAAGGCATAATTTCCAAGTAAGTTACCTCTATCACAACTAATATTAGACTTGTTTTCAAACTTGGTCACTTCCAAAAGTTTTCTTCATACATCTTGCATTTGACTCTCACAGTCTATCTGATAGGTAAGTCAGACAAATACCAGAATCCAGATTTAATTGAGGAAATTGAAGCTCAGGAGGCGAATGACCCATCAGCAATGTCATCACCACAAAGTGGCAGAGCCAAGACGTTTTGCCATAGTCACTTCACCCTTATATGCATATCCTGCCTAACAGGAGCCTACAGAACTATAATGATGCATAAACAGGAATGTGGTTCCCCAGACAGCCCTTCAGCAAGAGAAGTGAGTGCAAGCAAACAAAACTTTGCTGAGATGTTGTGTGTGTGCAATAATTATCTGCATTGCAACAGAAGCTGAGTAAATGTCAGGGCAGTGTAAATACCTTCAAATAAGCAACATTTCCCAGCTAGACAATGAATTTCTGACACAAGCCAACATAACAACATTTAGTGAGCCCAATGGACATGGCATGTAAATACGAATGCAAGATAAAACAAACTAATTCCAGGTAGTATCCACCTCAGAAATGTCACCTACCCATTTCAACTGGAATGTGAACTGCTGTGAACAGGATTGAGGGTAGTAATTTGGCCTCTGAGAGTGCTGTCTTCTGAGTTATCAGGAGTTCTAGGTTTGACGAGCTCTGGAGTTTTAAAGGGTCTGGCCCCATCCTCCCACTGTAGGACTTGATCTGTATTCATCTTCCCTATTCCTTTCCCAGATGGAGTTTTTAAGCACGTGATGGAACAAGCCCAAACCCTGAGATGCAAAATTCATAACCAGGACCTCTGAAACACACTGGGCACTTTGATGCACATTAAGGAAAGGTGCTTGCTCACAGATGAAATCTTCCTTCTGGTCTGATCCAGCTCTGTTCCAAGGCTCAGGGCTTGGCAAACAGAACATGGGTTGGATTTCAGCCCCAACACGGACCTTCAGTCTTTTGCTAGACACAGTAGTGAACAATCATATGTGCTGCCCTGGTTTTATTTCTTCTAGTGCATCTACTGAATCCCTCTTTCCAAATAAGATATACTTAGTGAGAATACTTTTCTTCTCCATCTCCTCATTCCATCTCTATTTCTATGTGTAATATTTTGGCCTTATGAATTAAACACACAATTAAGGGAGATGACAAACAAATAAGATAAGCTGTGAATCATAATATACTCAACTTATGGAAGCCTGATTATATGACTGAATGTTATTGTGTAAACGTGTCCCATCTCAAAAAAACAACAACAACAACAACAAAAAAAACAAAACAAAAAAACACAACAGCAACAAAAAAAGAAAAAAAGCCCCAACTCCACCTCTACCTCTACCTCTAATACTACCCCATGCAATGAAATAGTTTCAGGTAAATCTAATCACTTATTATACCATCTCCAATGAAGAATCTTATGTCTTATACAGTGTGAGGCAAAACAGTTGTGGTTTTAAAATTATTTAAATAGAGCCCTAATCTCACCTTAGTAAGACACAGGATTAGAAGTGAGACCTCTTCTGTCTGAGTTCTGGATCAGCCATTTACTAACTGCAGAAGTGAAGTCACACTTTACTGTATTCCTCTAAACTTCATTGTATGCATCTATAAAGTTGAATATTATTATGTGCTCTGCCTGTCCTATAGGGTTCATTTATTTATTCATCTAATATGCATTCAGAGAGTACCTACTGTGCATCAGATACATTCTAGACTCTCAGAATCCAGCAATGGACAAATCACATATGCTTTTATGGTGATTATATTTGAGAGAGGAAAACAAGGAGGAAAAATTATTAAATAAATTAAAACAAAGAATACTACAGTTGGGAGACATGTTCTTCATAGAGTGTCATTCATTTGAAGAGTAACAGTTAAGTTTAGGAACTTACTATAGAGCAAGAGCAGGAGAGGGAAAGAAAATTGGTATCCTTTAACATTAAAAAAAAATAGTTACCTCTGTAGGCTGGGAGTGGTGGCCTGTAATCCTAACACTTTGGGAGGCCAAGGCAGGTGAATCCCCTGAGGTCAGGAGTTTGAGACTAGCCTGGCCAACATGGTGAAACCCTGCCTCTACTAAAAATACAAAAAATTAGCCGGCACGGTGGCACACACCTGTAATCCCAGCTACTTGGGAGGCTGAGGCAGGAGAATCGCTTGAACCCGGGAGGCGGAGGTTGCAATGAGCTGAGATTGTGCCACTGCACTCCAGCTTGGGTGACAAGCAAAACTTCATCTCAAAAAATAAAAAAAGTTAGTTACCCCTGTAATGAATGATTTTTAAAAAGAGGTACATTGAGAAATATAGAAAGGTACACAACCTGGAGCAAGATGGTGGGAAGGCTTCCCTGAGAAGATGATATTTAAGCTGAGGCTTCAATGATGACATTGAATGATGACAAAGAGTGAGCCAGAAGTGGCACAAGGACATTCCAGGCAGAGGGAACAGCAGATGTAAAGATCCCGAGGCATGAGACACTTCATCGAATGAAAAGAAATCCAGTGTGGCTGGTCCAGAGAGTCTGGGGGACAATGGTTTCCTGTGAAACTGGAGAGCGTACAGATGCCAGAATGTACAGGGGAAGCACCCAGGAACACAGGCCATTCTGGAGATTTGGGGTTTATCCTCAGAGTGATGGAACAACATGGAAAATTTGATGAAAAGAGGGACAGAATCAGATTTGCATAAAAAGCAATCCTTACTATGACAATGAATTGAAGTGGTATGAGAAGGAAGGTACAGTTGGGGGCCCATGCAGAATCAGGGAACACATGCTGGGCCCTTGGACTGCTGGTGGCAGTGAGGATGGGGAGAGGTGAACAGATATTTCAGACTGGAGAGATATTGGAGAGATACATCAAACAAAACATTATAATGAGTTGATCGAAAGGGCCAGGGAGAGGAAGTGTCAAGGCTGGGTTCAGGATTTTATTTTGGGAAGTAAAGACACTATTATAAATGAAAATAGTTTATATATTATAAGCCAGTGAAAAATTGTTAGATTCAATTATCTTTTAAAGCAGAGCTTGCTAAGCAAATAAAAAGTGTATATAAGATTTCATGGAATTCTAGCATTTCAATTTGGCCCTCCTTTCATGTGGTCACTGTTAGTGAGGTTTCCCTGTTCTTACTTTTCTTCATGCTGTATAGACCCACAAATATTTTAAAATTAGATGTTTGAAACTATGAACTGTGAAGAAGTCAAAAATAATATTGGAAACTGTTGTTTTTAAAGCATATATGGTATGTTAATAACTGTTATGTTTTTTATAATATATTTTTGAGATATAATTCACACACCATTGAATTCAGACTTTTAAAATGTAAACTTCAGTGTGTTTTAGTATATTCACGGGGTTGTGCAACCATAACCACTATCTAGTTTCAGAACATTTCCATCACCCAAAAAGAAATCACCTACTCATTAGCTGTCATTCCTTCTTCCCCACTCCCCTGGCTCCTGCCAACAATTTTTCTGTCTGCGAATTCACCTATTCTGAACACTTCATATATATGGAATTACATAATATGTGGCTTTTAGTGATTACATTCTTTCAGTTGGCATTATATTTACAAGCTTCATCCATATTATAGCAATACATGAGTAGTTCATTTCTTTTTATTGCCAAATAGTGTTCTATTGTATAAATGCCTATCACATCTTATTTGTGAATTCATCAGTTGATAGACATTTGGGTTATTTCCACCTTTTGTATTAGCAGTAATGCTGCTATGTACATTTGTGTACAGGTTTTGCATGGATATGTTTTCAATTCTCTTGAGCATGCACCAAGGTGCAGAGTTGCTGGATTGTATGGTAACTCTATGTTTAAAATGTTGAGGAAATGCAAAACTGCTTCCCAAAGTGGTTACATTATTTCACAATCCCACTGGCAAAGTAAGAGGGTTCCAATTTTTATACATCCTTGCCAACATTTGTTATTGTCTGTCTTTTTAATTATCACCATCCTAGTGGGTCTGAAATAGTATCTCATTCTGGTTTTGATCTGTATTTTCCTAATGACTAAGGATGATGAACATCTTTCATGTGCTTACAGGCCTTTGTGTATCTTAGGAGAAATGTCTATCTAGGTAGATACTTTGTCCATTTTAAAATTATATGATTTGTGTTTTGTTGTTAAGTTGTAAGAATTATTTATATTGTCTGAATACAAGTCTCTCATCTAATATATGATTTACAAATATCTCTCATTCTTTGGGTTGTTTTTCACTTTCTTGATGGTGTCTTTTGAAGCACAAAAGCTTTCAACTTTGATGAGTCTAATTTGTTTTTTTTCCCTTTATGTTATGTTTTTTAATGTCTCACAGTTGTCTTTAATGACAACTAAACTAAAGGGTCTTTAGTTTATATGTTAGATTTCTGAGAATGCTATTCAAACAGGTTGTGACAGTCAAACAAGAAGACAAGCGAATAGAAGGAAGAGGAGGAGACCACATAGGGCCAAAAATACTAGTGTTCCTTCTTTAATGCAATGGTTACAATGTTTTATACCTATCTATCATTTTACAAAAACATATGTGTATGGTAAAATACCATCCTCTCTCTTTCTAGTACATAAATATTGAGGGGCTGGAGATAAATGGTTTCTATTTCCCTCATTTCCCCCTTATCCCTAAGCATACAGGCTTTACCTTTGTCGATGAAAATACTGATCCCATGTGGATTAAATAATTCTTTGTCAAATCCACCACTGATTTCTAGTGCTTGTGCCCTTGGATTTTGTTCATTCAGATCCATCAAGAAGATTTTTCCTGGCTCATCTGGTGCAAAGTTTGGCAGGCCTGGATATTTTAATCCCTTTTAAAAATAAAGAACAAGTGTGCACACATATACATATCAAAACAATATTTTCATATGGAATTTAAAATCTCAAAGCCAAATAAAAATGTTCAAAGTGTTAAATTTCATTTAGATTTCTGGGCTTTTTCACTCTGTCAGCTGTTTCCATGATCTGATCTGGGGTGTTACTGATGTCATCTAAACATTGGCTATAAACACAGAAAGAACCATATTCAAGATAAGGAAGAGTTTTTAATTTAGAGAAAAGGAATTAAGCCAAAAAATATAACGGAAGAGGCTAGGCTGTTACTTTGTGTGAATTCCTTCACATGCCTGTACCTCACATTCCTTATCTATAAAATGAAGAAGTTCAAATACATGATTGTAAGATTATTTCCAGTACTGGTATTCTATAACTAACTTTCCTCAAAGCAGAGAGAAGGGGTGTATAGTTTAATTGTATCATTCCCATTCCTACATTGATTATATCATGTAGTGGCAAACAGTAGAGCTGGCCAAGAATCAACATAAGGATACCAGTCTTATAGAGTTGACTATTTTTGACCTATTTTGTTCCCGTAGGTATGTCTGAAAATTCTGACATGAATGCTTTACTCATATATCACAAAAAGTTTATTCCAGTAACTTGGACAGTGGTCCTTTCTACTGTTAGGATCAGGTAGCTATCAATCAACAATAGGCATCCTGAATGCATGAAGCCTTTGCTGCATCTGAGTCCACTGTGACAAACCTTGGGGTTGGTTTATTCTACACCAGTTACAAAACAGTCCACTTCCTCTCCGTGTCCCCCATCTATCACTGGATCGGATATATATCAATATCAATAACTTTATATCTTCTCTGCTACCTTTATCTTCTTTTACAGTCTATTGCAATTCTGTCTTTCCTATTTCACCTTGTCTTTCTGCCTCTTTCCCTCTCCCTGTCCTTTCTACACACACATACACATACACTTATAATACTATTACCGGCTCTTCCACTGCTCCCTCTTGAGGTAGTCAACCTTTTCTGAACAACCCCAGTTACATCTTCAAACTTTTTTTTAGAACAGTCCTTGTATGCCCAAATCATATGCCCAATGTTGTCTGGAGGAAACCTGGCTTTTCCCAGACAACACTGGCACTACTGAAGCTCATCAGAGGAGGCAATGTTCCCTCTTTATTCTCCTTAAGTCAGCACATCTGGAGAAGGGATTGGCATGTCCCTAGCCACAAACTTCTGCTTCCAGACCATAATTCTGTCATCATCAATAGCCACACCCTTTGCTTCCTTATCACATTATGTTCCAACTCCCTTTGCTTTGGTCTAGTTCTTATATAGGGCAAGTTTAAAATCAGGTTGAAAAACTCCACTACAAAGTCACCACCCTAACTTCAGCCAGACGTTTAGTACTGTTTATTGATTTTTTTTGGCTCATTATGATAGGCAATCTATTCGATTTCCTCATGTCTCCCTTCTAAATTTATTTCATTATCTTCTAGAGTAGGGGTCCCTAACCCCTGTGCCACAGACTGGTACCAGTCCATAGTCTGTAAGGAACTGGGCCACACAACAGGAGGTAAGCTGTGGATGAGTAAGCATTACCGCCTGAGTTCCACCTTCTGTAAGATCAGCAGTGGCATTAGATTCTCATAGGAGTGCAAACTCTATTGTGAACTGAGCCTGCGAGGGATCTAGGTTGGATGCTCCTTATGAGAATCTAATGCCTGATGATCTGAGGTAGAACAGTTTTGTCTTGACCATGCCCTGCTCCCCGTCCATGAACTGTGGAAAAAATTGTCTTCCATGAAACTGGTCCCTGGTGCCCAAAAGATTGGGACCACTGTTCTAGAGCCCATACTTTCTTCCTCTTTATTATGAGTGGATGACTTTACTTACTACTTCTCTGAAGATATCATGTCATTTAACATGAATTTCCTATAATTCTTTCCTTTCTGTCCCAGTAATTCTTCTTCAGTTTTATTCATTCTCTTCCTTTCTCCCTCTTTTCTCAAGGAAGGAGTGTCCCTCCTCTGTTCTTAGGTTACATCCTTTACCTGCTTTCTTGGTTCCCTGTTCTCTAGGGTCTGTCTCTAGAGATTACACCTTCTCTCTCTTGCTTTACCACTCATTTTTCACTAACAGCTTCTTCTTTGGCCTGAAAAATTACAAGGTTTCCTTCCCTGAAATAAATATTTTTCTAACTTTACTGCCTCTTCGTATATGCATTTCTCTCTCTTCTCCTCACCATCAAATTTCTTAGAAACATCACCTGATCTTGTTGCCTAATGTGAACTGCTCCAACTCTCAATTCCCTGAAGTTAGTATTCTACACCCACCAGTTTATAGAAATACCATTATAAAGATCACATAATGGTCTCCAAATTACTTTATTTTGATAACTTTTCTACTTCTTATCTGTTTCTCTGCGGCATTCGACACTACAATATACCTTCTTCTTTCTTATCAAAAAGTCAAAAGTAGAGTTCCTAGATAGAAATCCTGCTCCTCTTCCTGACTCTTAGATTTCTGCCTCCTTCTGTTTTTAATCCATCCTTCCCTTCTCACTCTATACTCTTTCCTTGCAGATCTTATACATAAAGATTCAGGTATTTCCTTCATAACAAGGACTTTCAAGTCTGCATATTTATTTGTAACTCTGTAACTCTAGCTTGCATTCCCAACTTCCTCCCAAAGGGCAGCTCAAAATCAAATAGTCAAAAACAAAATCAACATTCTCCCCTCGAATCCATCCTCTCATTTCTATCTATTCTTCTCAGCTAAGGACATCACTATGCTCCCCAACATTGGACCATAAAATTCAATTTTCAATCTACTCTTTCCCCCATAACCAATTTGTCACCAAACTCAATGGCTCAGATAATAGTAGCACTGGAGAAAAAAATTATATATATACGTTAAAAATCAAATATATATAATAATTATATATATAAATATATTAGGGGCATTTAATCTCACATCTTCCCTTTCACATGAGGGAAATGAGGCCTAGATGAGTGATTTGCCTAAATCACTCAGATCATTTATTGTTCAGCCTCTCTCCCACACATACAGAAAGGTTTGGAAGTAAACAATATTGCTCAGGAAGGCAGCTCAAGACAGAACACATTGGCAAGTACCTTGGTAGCTTGGGGGAAGGTAGAGCACAGCCAGCTAATGCAAAGACTGGATGTTACAGAAATAAAATTATCTGATAAAGAGATATGGGTGGGGCACTGCAAACAAGCTTGGTCTAGAGTAAGTGTGATGATCGAAGAAACGTTTCTGATAAATGGCTTCACATTCACCTAGTTTTCTGTGTAAAGCAGTTAGGTAGGAATTTGTGGCAGCAAACCAACTATGTGCTAATGACTGTAAGCAATTCTTTTCATACCATTCACTGGTAAAAATGGTGAAAATCATCATCGAGACATGCAGGAATCTTATTTTCCCAACAAACTACAGGTATATGTGGACAATCAATGAACTCTTCCACTATCCTCATCCATCACCACATGCACTCAGTAAATATTCGAGGACTTGCACACGCCTGGTAGTATGTTAGGTGTTGGGCATGTCAATGCATGCTCCAAAGTCTTGAGTTCAAGGATCTTGAAATCTAGAGCAAGTACATAAGTATGGTGTGGTCTATAACAGCCTAAACTCAGGCGAATATTCAAGAGCGAACATTGAAGAGGCACCTCACTCCACAAGAGAGTGCCAGGGAAGACTCTGCTGAGGAAGTAAAGTGCCACCGCAATGAACCCTCACAAAGAAGTAGGAGTTAGCTGGCAAAGTGTGACGAAGGGAGTAATCTTGGAGTCAAAGATAAGCGTGTCAAGTCCCAAGACAGGGGAGAAAAATACCCTGTTTGCCATCCCTAAATAGACTAGAAATATCTATTGCACAGAATTATTGTCCAAATCAGCAACTTTCAAACATATAGGATGGCAAGAAAGGGTAAAAGGAGAAACCAAAAGAACAAGGTCCCGAATTTATTATAGTGCAGAAGGATTAGAAACAAGCAAATAACATAATCCTTATCCTATAAGTTGTTCATTTACAAAAGGAGATTCATTATTAAAAACTTCATGTTAACATTTCTCATAAACTTGTGATCAAAATATATACTTCCTGTATAGCAATGATTCAGAACTTTTAGTTCCAGTGAAAATTAAAAAAAAAAAAAGAAGAAAATATACAGTACGAAGGACAAACATTATTTCACAACAGCAAAGAAATCTCCTAGCTATAGAATCATCACTTTTAGTGGTGTATTTAGCATAACATTGAAAATTTAAACTGGAAGGAGGCTTCCAAGATAGCTAAATAGGAACACCTCCGGTCTGCAGCTCCCAGCAAGATCAACATAGAAGACGGGTGATTTCTGCATTTCCAGCTGAGGTACCTGGTCCATCTCATTGGGACTGGTTGGACAGTGGGTGCAGCCCATGGAGGGCAAGCCAAAGCAGGGCAGGGCGTCGCCTCACCTGGGAAGCACAAGAGGCCAGCAGATTTCCCTTTCTTAGCCAAGGGAAGCCGTGACAGTCTGTACCTGGAGGAACGGTATGCTCTTGCCCAAATACTGTGCTTTTCCCACAGTCTTCGCAACTAGCAGACCTGGAACTTCCCTCCCATACCTGGCTTGGTGGGTCCTACACCCACGGAGCCTTGCTCACTGCTAGCGCAGCAGTCTGAGATCAAGCTGTGATGCTGCAGCTTGGCAGGGGGAGGGGCGTCCACCATTGCTGAGGCTTGAGTAGGTGGTTTTGTGCTCACAGTGTAAACAAAGAGGCCAGGAAGCTTGAACTGGGCAGATTCCACCACAGCTCAACAAGGCCTACTGCCTTGCTATAGATTCCACCTCTGTGGGCAGGGCATATCAGAACAAAAGGCAGCAGACAGCTTCAGCAGACCTAAACGTCCCTGTCTGACAACTCTGAAGAGAGTAGTGGTTCTCCCAGCACAGCATTTGAGCTCTGAGAACAGACAGACTGCCTCCTCAAGTGGGTCCCTGACACCTGTGTAGCCTGACTGGGAGACACCTCCCACTAGGGGCTGACAGACACCTCATACAGGTGGGTGCCCTTCTGGGACGAAGCTTCCAGAAGAAAAACCAGGCATCAATATTTGCTGTTCTGCAGCCTCCGCTAGTGATTTCCATGCAAACAGGGTCTGGAGTGGACATCCAGCAAACTCCAACAGACCTGCAGCTGAGGGGCCCGACTGTTAGATGGAAAACTAACAAACAGAAAGGAATAGTATCAACATCAACAAAAAGCACATCTACACCAAAAACCCCATCTGTAGGTCAGCAACATCAAAGACCAAAGGTAGATAAAACCACAAATATGGGGAGAAACCAGAGCAAAAAAGCTGAAAATTCCAAAACCCAGAGTGCCTCTTCACCTCCAAAGAATCACAGCTCCTCGCCAGCAAAGGAACAAAACTGGATGAATAATGAGTTTGATGAGTTAACAGAAGTAGGCTTCAGAAGGTCAGTAATAACAAACTTCTCCAAGCTAAAGGAGCATGTTCTAACCCATTGCAAGGAAGCTAAAACCCTTGAAAAAAGGTTAGACAAGTGGATAACTAGAATAAACAGTGTAGGGAAGATCTTAAATGACCTGAAGGAGCTGAAAGCCATGGCATGAGAACTTCCTGATGCATGCACAAGCTTCAATAGCCAATTTGATCAAGTGGAAGAAAGGATATCAGTGATTGAAGATCAAATTAATGAAATAAAGTAAGATGACAAGATTAGAGATGAAAGAGTGAAAAGAAAAGAACAAAGCCTCTAAGAAATATGGGACTATGTGAAAAGATCAAATCTACATTTGATTGGTATTCCTGAAAGTGATGGGGAGAATGGGTCCAAGTTAGAAAACACTCTTCAGGATATTATCCAGGAGAACTTCCCCAATCTAGCAAGTCAGGCCAACATTCAAATTCAGGAAATACAGAGAATACCACAAAGATACTCCTCGAGAAGAGCAACCCCAAGACACATAATTGTCAGATTCACCAAGGTTGAAATGAAGGAAAAAATGTTAAGGGCAACCAGAGAGAAAGGTCGGGTTACCCACAAAGGGAAACCCATTCAGACTAACAGCAGATCTCTCGGCAGAAATCCTGCAAGCCAGAAGTGAGTGAGGGCCAATATTCAACATTCTTAAAGAAAAGAATTTTCAACCCAGAATTTCATATCCAGCCAAGCTAAGCTTCATAAGTGAAGGAGAAATAAAATATTTTGCAGACAAGCAAATGCTGAGAGATTTTTGTCACCACCAGTCCTGCCTTACAAGAGCTCCTGAAGGAAGCACTAAACATGGAAAGGAACAACCGGTACCAGCCACTGCAAAAATATACCAAATTGTAAAGATTACTGATGCTATGAAGAAACTGCATCAATTAATGAGCAAAATAACCAGCTAACATCATAATGACAGGACCAAATTCACACATAACAAAATTAACCTTAAATGTAAATGGGCTGAATGCTCCAATTAAAAGACATAGACTGGTAAATTGGATAGAGTCAAGACTCATCGGTGTGCTGTATTCAGGAGACCCATCTCATGTGCAAAGACACATATAGGCTCAAAATAAAGGGATGGAGGAAGATCTACCAAGGAAATAAAAAGCAAAAAAAAAAAAAAAAAAAAAAAAAACGAAAAACAGGAGTTGTGATCCTAGTCTCTGATAAAACAGACTTTAAACTAACAAAGCTCAAAAGAGACAAAGAAGGCCATTACATAATGGTAAAGGGATCAATTCAACAAGAAGAGCCAACTATCCTAAATATACATGCATCCAATACAGGAGCACCCAGATTCATAAAGCAAGTCCTTAGAGACCTGCCAAGAGAATTATACTCCCATACAATAATAATGGGAGACTTTAACACCCCACAGTCAATATTAGACCGATGAATGAGACAGAAAGTTAATAAGGATATCCAGGACTTGAACTCAGCTCAGGACCAAGTGGACCTAACAGATATCTATAGAACTCTCCACCCCAAATCAACAGAATATGCATTCTTCTCAGCACCATATCACACTTATTCTAAAATTGACCTCATAATTGGAAGTAAAACATCCCTTAGCAAACGCAAAATAACAGAAATCACGAACTGTCTCTCAGACCACAGTGCAACCAAATTAGAACTCCAGATTAAGAAACTCACTCAAAACCACACAACTACATGGAAACTGAACAACCTGTTCCTGAATGACTATTGGTTAAATAACAAAATGAAGGCAGAAATAAAGATTTTCTTTGACACCAATGACAACAAAGACACAAGGTACCAGAATCTCTGGAACACATTTAAAGCAGTGTGTAGAGGGAAATTTATAGCACTAAATGCCCACAAGAGGAAGGAGGAAAGATCTAAAATCGATACCCTAACATCGCAACTAAAAGAACTACAGAAGCAAGAGCAAACAAATTCAAAAGCTACCAGAAGGCAAGAAATAACTAAGATCAGAGTAGAACTGAAGGAGATAGAGACATGAAAAACCCTTCAAAAAATCAATGAATCCACCCTTCAAAAAATCAGTGAATCCAAGAACTGCTTTTTTGAAAAAAAAAAATCAACAAAATAGACCACTAGCAAGACTAATAAAGAAGAAACAAGAGATGAATCAAATAGATGCAGTAAAAAATGATAAAGGGGATATCACCACTGATCCCACAGAAATACAAACTACCATCAGAGAATACTAAAACCACCTCTACACAAATAAACTAGAAAATCTAGAAGAAGTGGATAAATTTCCTGGATACATCCACCCTCCCAAGATTAAAGCAGGAAAAAGTTGAATCTCTGAATAGACCAATAACAGGTTCTGAAATTGAAGCAATAATTAATAGCCTACCAACCAAAAAAAGTCCAGGACCAGATGGATTCACAGCCGAATTCTACCAGAGGTACAAAGAGGGGCTGGTACGATTCCTTCTGAAACTATTCCAATCAATAGAAATAGAGGGAATCCTCCCTAATTCATTTTAAAAGGCTAGCATCATCCTGATACCAAAGCATGGCAGAGACACACCAAAAAAAGATAATTTTAGGCCAATATCCCTGATGAACAGCGCTGGGAAAATCCTCAAAAAAATACTGGCAAACCGAATCCAGCAACACATCGAAAAGCTTATCCACCACAATCAAGTCAGCTTCATCCCTGGGATGCAAGGCTGGTTCAACATATGCAAATCAATAAATGTAATCCATCACATAAACAGAACCAACAACAAAAACCACATGATTATCTCAATAGATGCAGAAAAGGCCTTCAACAAAATTCAACGGCCCTTCATGCTAAAAATTCTCAATAAACTAGGTATTGATAGTACATATCTCAAAATAATAAGAGCTATTTATGACAAACCCACAGCCAATATCATACTGAATAGGCAAAAACTGGAAGCGTTCCCTTTGAAAATTGGCACAAAACAAGGATACCCTCTCACAGCACTCCTATTCAACATAGTGTTGGAAATTCTGGCCAGGGCAATCAGGCAAGAGAAAGAAATAAAGTGTATTCAATTAGGAAAAGAGGATGTCAAATTGTCTCTGTTTGCATATGACATGATTGTATATTTAGAAAACCCCATCATCCGGGTCCAAAATCTCCTTAAACTGATAAGCAACTTCAGCAAAGTCTCAGGATACAAAATCAATGTGCAAAAATCACAAGCATTCCTATACACCAATAACAAACAAACAGAGAGCCAATCATGAGTGAACTACCATTCACAATTAGAAGCGGAAGCCCAGTCAAATAGGGCAATGATGAGAATGGATAGCAATAGGACCGATCTGGAGACTAGTGTAGGAATTGAATGGAAATCAATACACATTTATCAAGACCCTACTGAGTATGCCACTACCCACAGGGAGTTGCCCACCATGAGGCAGTCAAAGCTGGGCATTCCTGCGGTGTTCTAATTAGCCCTCCAGAATCCTGTTTTGGTTTTTTCAGTTGACTGGTTTACCCATAGGTGGGATGAGAGTGTAGGGATCCATCTGGCAGCTCCAGTGGACAACATTAATGTACTGTCTATACAGCTATTGACGTGAGCATCAGAGCAGCATGGAAAATACTCACACTGGAGATAAAAGCCAGCCCACTAGGAAGTATATCAATATCTTCAGAGCCATTTTCTGCAAAAGAAGGGTAGAATCAGAAAAATGCATATATGAATGCTCAAAAAAACACATCTCACAATCCAAACTACAAATATCTTTTGGAAACTTCTTTTGGAAACTGTCGACTTGTTCAACCATTTACTTGGGAAACTATATTAACTTTTGGGAATCTCACAGGCATGCTACTCTACAGTAAAACTTGAATCAGACTCCTCAAATACTAAATCATTTTTTAGAATCCCATTTTCAGGAGAAAAAGGCAAATACCTAGAAAATAAACTCATATCCTAGATTTACTCTTTAAGTAACAATTTCCAGGGCATGTCCTGAGAGATCCAGCTTTATTCCCCATAGAAGGCTGGTCTATAGACTCAATAATAAAATCTAGAAAGTCATAATCGTGAAGGTCTTTTATTACAGGCCTCTCTGCCAAGCATTCCTTCTCTTCCAACGTGAAGCCTAAAACACTATCATTATACAATTATATTGGGAAATTATTGAGTAATAAAATATTGAGTATAAATGAATATGAAAGATTAGTGAGAATTAATATGAAAGTTTAGTCAGATCTTTTTCCTCATTAAGAGCTAGTTTTCAGCATTTTTTTCTATGGAAAGAGACATATAATAAGTAAGTTTTGACTGAGAACAAGATGAAAAAGGAGCTGTCATGGCTTCTAGTAGGAATAGAGATCTGCATATGATGTGGTTCCAAGTAGACAGAAGTGAGATTATCTAGTGTGGCAAACTATAGTCTACAAATATGTCAGAACCAATATGTATCATCGCCACTTGTTCTTAAAATGTGATGTTCAGACTCTTCCAGCAAGAGGTAAAGTCTATATTCTCTCCTGTTGAAGCTGGGTAGAACTTTGTAACTGCCTTGACAAATAGAATAAGATGAACGCAATGCCACATAACATCCTAGGCTAAGTCATAGTCATAGCTGCCACTGGCTCTCTCTCTCTCTATTTCTTAAGACATGCACCTTGGCAACTCTGGATCAAAATGTAAAAAGTCTGGCTATTGTAAAACTACAGAGGAAAGAGCACAGAGGGATCACCCAAAGTGGAAAGAGAGCCAGCATTATCTTTAGCTCAGGCCATAGGAGCTAGAAATGACTCTAGTTCCCAGCCTTTGAGTCATTCTAGCTGATGTAAATGAAACAGAGTGGACTGCCTACACTGTGCCCTGTCAACATTGCACATTATTGAGCAAAATAGCGGTGGTTGTTTTAAGTCACTAAGTTTTGGGGTGGTTTGCTGCACAGTCATAGTTATTGGAACATGCAGGGAAATGGTTACCTAGAGTAGTGGGTTACTAGAGTGTCAAAAGGCAATGGGGGAAGTATAGGGGAAAATATGAAAAAGAAAATTGCAGAAAAGTCAAAGAAGATGCAAACTGAAATCAATAAAATGGTGAACAATAGGCACTTAGAAGTTGAGAAAGATTTTATTTTATTCAGTATACTGAAGGTTGAAAGTAATCCCCACCTAGAAATATGAAAATCAAATTAACCAGAACTTCCCATTTCCTAAGTATTCCAGTTAATCAAGATTTACCTACATATGGTACCTTGATAGCTATTTCCACACAAAATGACATAGACATCAGAAGAATACAGCAAACTGAATAAAGTCATTTTAAAAATTGCATTGAATATTTGTTGATTATTTTCTAGTGTTTCTCCTTCTTCTCTGCACTCCCCTATTGGTTTCCCTGTACCTTAATCTCATTCCCCTCTCTGTCCTATAGGTGGATATTTTCCAGGCTCTGTCTGACCATGGCTCTTTCTCATGGCAAAGCATCCATTTTCCCCACATGATGCACTCTACTCCCACATGGGTCGTGGCAGATGGCTTCAGTTTCCACCTGGATGCTCTTGAATCCCCAATCTCTAAATCAAGCTCAAAGCTTTCTTCCAAGTTCCAGACCTTTGTATCAACCTGCATGTTGGACATTTCTACCTGGGTCTTTTATTTCTCATATTCCACAGGTCCCAAACTGATCTGAAAGTTTCTGCTTCGAATCTGCTCTATTTTCTATATTTCTACTTCAATGAATGGTGCCTCCATTCCACAAACACCTAGAGCAAGAAGCTTGGAGTTACCTTTGATGCGTTCCTTTTCCTTAATTTCCAAATCCAGCTGATCACCAGTCATTCAAGCTCCAGGACTTCCTCTTGGATTTCTACAATAGTTTCCCAATAACTCAGCTTTGCTTCCCTGAACCCATTCTCTGCACTGCTGAGAGTCATATTTTAAAATTTAAAGTTGACCTTGTTATCCCCTGCTTAAAACCTCCCAGAGGCCCACTAGGGCTGACAGTATAAATACCAAGCTCTTTGGTCTAGATCCCAAACATCTTGGCTCCAGTCTCAGTTACTATGGCCCCACTCTCTACTCTACATTGCAGCTGTGCTGTGGTACTTACTACTGTCCTGTGAGTAGTTTGTGAAATGGGCCAGACTCATTCACCAGCATGTCTGTGCATATGTTGCTTTCTCCTTGCAACACTCAGACCTTTCCCATCCTAACCTTACCTCTACTTGGCCAAGGCCACAGGCTCCTGGAGGTTTGGGGCCACCTTCTCAACCTATGCAAACTTTCCTGGTTTCAGCATCCATTTTATGTATTAATATGGTCATCTGTGACTATGTCTACCATGATCTTTTTCATACTGGGCTGCACCCCTCTGTTTAATTGTTAATTTCCTACTAGATGGTCTGCTTTCTGAAGGCAAGAACTGGGTTTTATTCAGTGTTGTATCCTTATACTCAACATAATACTTGCCTTTTCACTGCAGAAGCTCTTAATAAAGCTGGCTGGTTCAAAAAAGAAGTAAACACTTTTTGTTTTTTGAACTTTGTCATGTATTGAGGTTAAACTATCGAAAAGTGGGTGATGATTTCTGAGTCCAAGATATCCTGAATTGTGTTTGGCTCCTCTTCTCTTCCAAACACAATTTTACATGTCTCCCCTGACAGCATAAACCTACTTCAATAACTCACCTAAAACAGAGTGGGCATTTTTCAGACGTGTTGTGCCTGTCTTAATTTACTTGCTCCATCCGGAGCATGGGAAAGCCGGTGCTTTGCACTCAGCAGTGGAAAAGAATTACCACACAAGATTGCACAATGTCACCATCCCTTCTTCCCACCTACACTGTGCCTGCATGACAGGCCCCATGCATCTCAGCAACAATGGCACCTGTGGGAGCAAAAGCCTCCAGGATACCTTCCTCTGAGACTTTCCCTCACACTTATTAGTCTATGCACAACTATCATTCAAACCCCAGTGCTAAGTCTAAAATCAGACTTATGAATAGGTGCCTACTGCTTCTTAGCCTGTCAACCCTACTACTACTTGGCATAACTTCATTTCTTTACTCTTTTCTTCATTTCTCCAGTTATCCCCTACAGGCACTCTGATAAAGGGTCACATCAAAACAGTACTATCAGTTAATTTTATTATCGTCACTTCACATCTTGGAGAGAAGTTTCTGATAGTCAGTTAAGAAAACACATGGAACCTACTATGGTGTAGAAGCATATCTTGGAGACATGGGAAGCTATAGAATGGAAAGGAGTGGAAGGGAAGGCAGGTAGGTATTAAATACACAGGCCATCCACTCAATAATCCTGCCCAGTGAAAGCCCTACTGAAGTATTCATATTTCAAGTGCAGCTTTGATTAGATGCCAAGGGCAGCCAGATAACATCCTGGTTAAAACAATCCTTGACCCTCAAAGCCTTGGAGAAAAAGATGAACGTAATACAAAAAGATCTATGAGATATGATTTCCGGAGAAAGATATTTCATCTTTCAACTTTTCTGCCCAGAAAAAAATACTGGGGAAGAAAAACAAAATAAGAGTTTCTTCCGCCAATAAAATAAACCTCAAAAATCTGGGTCTTGAAAATACAAATAAGAATTTTTCTCCAGCTCTGTTACAACCTACTATACCCTACCTAAAATCCTTCAGCAGCTTTTCATGGCTTTATAAAGCCTCTACTCTTCAACTAGTTGTGACTTGTAAGTATTATCTTATCAGTTATCTTAATTTAAATATCTAGCCCGCCTTGTTTTGATTAACCTATACCTAGTAATATTTCAGCTGTTCGCATCTCAGATTTTCTGTTTTCCTGCTGTTGTAATACTTTCCTGAAGCTTCCATAATAAAAAATGTGTTGTCAGTAGATAAGAAAGGTGGTGTTACACAACAGAGAGTACAAAGGCATAGAAGGAAATGGTCTTGGCTCATAAGCTAAGCCCATCACCCCCTAGTTCCAGACCATTGAGCAAACAACTTAATTCTTCTGTATGTCAATTTCCTAATCTGCAAAGCATAGATAGCAGCACCCACTTTACAAATTGGTTATGAGGATGATGTAGATGTTTGTAAAGGACTCAACAGGCTGCTCATAGTCACCAAGCCTTTGATAAAGCAGCTTTTTCAAAAGATATATACCAGTATTGTCCTACTGACGCATGACCCATCATCATTCTAACTTGTTTAGTTCACCAAACATATGCCAATAGACATGAGAAGTAACATGGCATTTTTTTCTTCTGCTCCCAGCCTGCTTCCAACTAAGTCATTTTCTTCAAAATATTTGGAAAATCAGAACATTGACTTAAGACTTACAATATTAACTCTAATTTTACCTTCTCAAATCTAGTTGAGTGATACAATTCAAGAGTCAGACTAGACCTTACCAATCATCTAATCTAATTATACCTCTTAATTATTTGCAGGCTTATATATTTTGAGAGCTATTTGTATAGTGAACATGAATACTACTACACCACAAAACAGTAAACAAATGAGTAAACGTCACATTTTCTTATTTTTAAAATTAAATAATTCACTCTGATACCCCATTCCGCTAAGTTGATGGAAAATCCAATCTGAGTCATTACTTGGTTTCTCTGTTAGGGTTATGAAATCATTTTAGGTGGTAGGTTCTAAACCTAAGCAGAATGTTTTGGAAAGGCCATCTGGCATTCATTCTATACTATGTATCATCAAATTATTCATTGCCAGTTACTGGTCCCTTTTATTTAGACAATTCTGCTACTTCCATGTCATACATTGACACAAGGTCTTTACCTTAGCTGGAACACAGGGTCCAGCATCCCTAAAGATACCTTGCAACCATTCCTTCTGAGGTCCTGCTCCTCTCCCAGAATGCTGTCAGCCAGTGGGGTAAGGGTCCCCATTATTCAAAGATATCCACATATTCATATCCCTTCTCCATCAGAATCCCTTGAAGGGGCTCAGGTTCTTAAAAACAATTCAGGAAAGGGAGTTTCTTTGGTTTCTTCTGCTTTCCAGCTGCTAGCACAAACCACCTCTAAGACTAGGGAGTGCAAGGTTCAGATTATTTTTTAGAAATTGAGAGGCAAAAAAGGCAGAAAACTCAAATTAAAAGGGCACTTTTTCTGTATTTTTTAATATAGCAATAAAATAGAAAATCATATCCCAAAATCAGCTATCCCATCACATTCTAATAAATAAGTCACAGTCCTTGGCCCTAGGGAGTTTACAATCTGATAGTGAAAGAGAGAACACTGCCAGCTATAATATAAGGCATGTGGCAGGTGTCATAAGTGAATCGGAGCTTCAGAGTGCAGTGAGAATTCAGCAGCTGATTTCAGCAAGCAGAGACGGAGGAATAAGTAAGTTTGGAGAGAATTTCATAAGCAAAGGTGAGAAAGTGAAAGAACATATTCTCAGAACAGGGAACACAATCTAGCCTGGTTTTATTTTATTTTTCTGTTAGCAATGTCAGGAAGAATTGGAGGTGTGGAGCCCAAATAAGCAGCTGTGGCATTAGCTAGTAGGTGAGATTAGCCCATGTCTCATGTAGAAGCATGAGGGACAAGCGGGGAACAATGGTTCCTGGATTTTGAACTGAATCTTTTGAGAATGAGGGTACCAAACACAGAAAATGTCTAGAGGCAGAGCTGGTTGTGGGTGGGAGGATGAGAGAGAAAAGGACAGAAATGTAAAATAGATTTCAGCTTAGGGAGAGTTTCAGATGGAGCTACCCTTTAACTGACTAAAAAAGAAGGGCTGCAGTTTGTAAGGTTAGGGACTGGGCCGTGGAATTTTGGTGAATTTTTTTAAAAGAAGGTAGGTAGGCTGTGAGGTTCCTTCTTTTTTTTTTTTTTTTTTTAAAGACAAAGTCTCGCTCTGTCGCCAGGCTGGAGTGCAGTGGCGCGATCTCGGCTCACTGCAACCTCCGATGACTCCCTGGTTCAAGTGATTCTCCTGCCTCAGCCTTCCGAGTAGCTGGGACGACACGCACCCACCGCCACCATGCCCGGTTAATTGTTGTATTTTTAGTAGAGATGGGGTTTCACCATGTTGGCCAGGATGGTCTCAATCTCCTGACCTCATGACCCGCCGCCCTCGGACTCCTAAGTGCTGGGATTATAGGTGTGAGCCACTGTGCCAGCCGGGTCTGAGGTTCTTGAGGGGAGGGACTAAGTCATATTACTCTTGGTACTTGTAGATAAATTTTGAAAAAAATAACACTTGAAGCCAGGAATGACAACAAGGAAAGGGAGGGAGGAAGGAAAGAAGGAAGGAAGAAAAAAAAAGAAGGTAACAGAGGACAAGGAGAAGAGTGAAATATCACAGACAGGAAAGGAGAAGCATTCAGTGAGGGGAAAACCAGGGTGTGGTCAATGACATTCTTTAGGTAATGTGGAGAGATGTCAGTAAGGAAATGTGCTGAGAAAAAGCCACAAAGGATGTCATTTAGGACACCCCTAAAGACCTTGCATGAGGCAGAGTGGACGGGGCAGATGTCCCACTGGGAGGGCTTAAGTAGTGACAGGTAATTAAATGAGCTGGTAGGGCTCAGTCAGGTGGATGGAGACAAAGAAGCTATGCTGGCTCCTCTTGGTACTGTCACATACATACCAAGTTCCTCAATAAGGCGGCAGTTTTCAGGTTCTACTGGCTCCACTTCTCGAGAGGCACTCATCCTTTCTCTGTAGAAGATAAAACCCAATCCTGGAAATCAAGGCACAGCGTTCAAAATGTATGTTTAAATGTGGACTTCAATCATCTTCGTGTTGGTTAACTATCTTTATCATAATTTATGAATGATATAACAATTAAGTAGGTACCTCCTTTTATGTTTATTTACATAATGTAGACATTATATGGGTATTTTACCTATATCAGCTAACCTTACTCAGTTATTGCTGAAAAACTACAATATGATTCTACATGGAAAACATTCTGCTGCCCAAATAAAAGACACTATTTAATAGTATGAGTAATTGAACAATATCACTAATTTAAATGCACAAAATAGTCCTACTTAATTTTCTAAAGTATCGTCTGTTATAAATCTGCACTTAATCCCCTACAGTCTTGCCCTTTGAACTTCTCCTTCCAAACTGCTTTCCCAAAATTCAACAGGGTGTGCTAATAGTCAAACTCTGTCACTTTTGCTTTAATTTTTAAATTTTATGCTGACTTACTTTTCAAGTATGTAAATTCATTAAACCAACCACAATTTAAACAATTGGCCAATTTATTTTTCAATACAATTTTCTTGTTTCCAGAGTGAAATGGAATGTTTCCACATTCTTCTAATATCAGGGATAATTTAAAATTTGTATTAAAGTATATTCAGGAAGACTTGATACTTACCTTACAGTCATTTATTTAAAAAATACCCCTTAGATCTACTTTATTATTATTACTATTATTTTATGATTCCCCATGCGGTTGCACTGGGAACAAATGTAACAATAAAACTCTCAAACTGGAAGTATTACTAATAGGCATCAGGCACCTCAACAGATTCTAGACATAATCCTCTGAGCAGGCCAGCTTCTACTAAGAGAAATACATAAACACTCAAAGACAATTGAAAGCAAGCAGAGGCTTTCGATCCACTCATGAATGTACATTGCCACTTAAAGATTCTTCTTTCTAGCCCAGTATTGACTTTTCCTGAGACATTTCTAGGCTGGCTACCACCATTGTATCTTCCACTTCAAAAAGTCAAATGCCTACAAAATGCCAGTTACCAACTGCAGGTTTCAGCTGGTTTGCCCTGCTATCTGGCCAGTTCTTTAAATCTAGGATAGGTTCCATAACTCAGTAGTTCTGTGTGGTTAGCTAGACCCGGGCAATGTCTCAGTCAGCCATAAACATCCAACTGGTAGCCTGATCCTCTCCCCAGTCCAGCGTTTCCAATGGACATCCTTTTTTCCCAAGCGGAATGTTGAGGGTGAGCTGGGAAAAGGGTCATGACGTTCAGAAAGTAAAAGGGGGTCATGATCTTCAGAAAGTAAAGGGGGGTCATAACCTTCAAAAAATAAATGGGAGTAAGTCGGCTCGGCAGTCTTTGAAAACGCAAGTAGCTCACTTTCCCCATAAGCGAGTCTCAAGGGGCAGTTTGCTGGGTGCGATGGAGGAGTGAGGTTCCAAAGCTGCTCTTTCCTACTCGCTAGGAAGGGGGCGCCAGGCAGCCCCTGACCTCACTTGGAAGAGGATAGAAAGAGAGTCGAGGACGCCCTGTCAAGATGCCACTCACCTAAACGCCAGGAACATCTCCCCGACTAAGGCCAGGCCGACCCCCAGCAGGACCAGCGCCACCAGCTTCCCCATGGTCTCGGGTGCCCAGAGGCGACGCGCAGCGCCGAGAGCTCCCGGAGGCGCGGCGGGCGGTTCCTGCCTCGCCTACGGATTGGGGCCGGCTCGGCCCCTCCCGCCCGCGCCTCCCACTCTGGTAAGCGGCCCAGGTGCGGCAGCAGGGCGCCGACGAGTCCCGCCCAGCCCCGCAGCCCGGGTTCAAGGCCAGCTTCACGTGCGCGAGTCCTTGTTTTTTGGGCGAAGGTCAAGGCTCAACGGAGAGGAAGCCCAGGACCAAGCTGTGGAGGGAGTTTGCTCCTAAAACCCGCTAAATCCTACCTCAGTTCCTCAGATGGCCTGAGAGGGAAACCGGAGGGGCCGGGAAGGGGGAGCTCCAGTTCAGGACTGGAATTCCGGACTTCTGCAAGGCAAGACGTGAGGTGATGCTGAATTGTTCCCGAGACACGGGAAGGGCGAAGGTAATCGAAGCGAAGAGCTTTAACTCATCTTCTCCAAGATTTGGGGCACGGGAACCTGTCTCCTGACCTTCGTGCCCTACCTCGGAGTGTGCTGCCCAGACGGACTTGTGAATATCTGTGTCTGCCCCCAGAGTTAACCGGAGAAGGAAACACCAGGAGAAAAGAAGGAAAAGACACAGGAAACGGGAAGAGGAGCAGAGGCGATGAAGGGGAAGGTCGTTTCCTTGGCAGGGTAGGACCTCTTTCTTCTAGGTCTTGAGTTCCTGCCAGGCAAGAAATGCTCTTTCCCCTCTCCTGATGAAGACCAGGTTGGAGGGGGAGGAACTGAAGATGGGGGAAGACAAGAAGCATTTCGGGCAAAGTAGCATCTTCAAGCATGATCTATTTTTATTTACGGACAGAAAGAAACATTAGTTCCGTTGGGTTCCACTGAGTACACTATTTGTTGAGAGAGCAAGATTTGCCCATCCTGGGGGTATTAAAAAAAGAAAAGGTGGTCCCTGACCCACGGGATACATGATTCTACTGTGAATACATAATTACAGGATGAATAATGAAGCCCACCACTTATGCAGTACTGACTGTGTGCTTTGCCTGTGCTGACACCTTTACCTATGTTAACACATTTAATTATCAACACAATCTCTGGGGTGTGGGTAGCCTTAACCCAATTTTACAGGTGAGACCTGCAGCACAGAGTGCTTATGTGGCTTGCTGTAGGTCACACAGCTATCAAGCAGCAGACTCCAAAATCTGGGCCCTTAACTGAGCTGCCTCTACCATGCTGCCTCTAGAAAAGCTATGGAAGAAGGGTTGTATTAAAAGGACAGTGTAACGTCTTGAATTGTATAGATAAGAGTTCTTGTTAAGATGACTAATGTTAAAAGAGTGCAAGCAGAGGAGGAATCGAAGTTAGGAAGGCACACAGAGCTGAGGGGCCTGGGCTGTGGTGTAGACGTGCATGCAGGGTTTGGGAGTCAGGCTGCCTGAGTTTGGATCCAGCTTAGATAAGGTACTCAGCTTTATTAAGCTACAGATTCCTCGTCTGTAAAAGAGCGTCCACCTCACAGGTAGCTTAAAATTAAATGTGATAATGAGTGTCAAGTGCTCTGCACTGTGCTTGATACGTTTTATGAAGTCAGTAAAGATTAACCACTAATTAATTCTGAACTTTGCTTGAGATTGTAGGCTCCTGTGGGAAGGACTCCATCCCATTGATGGCTGGGTTTTCCTGTGCCATCGGTAGAACTTTGTGCTTAATAATGGCTCAACAGATATGATTAGATGGATGGATGTAAAATATGGACTTGGGAGAAAGAAAAATTGGAAGAATAAAAAATAAATGGAGTGGATAATGAAATAATAATAGTCACATTATTATTTCACTCAGCACATGCATGCCTTGTCACATTACTTCTTATTAACCTTACCTTCAAAGAAGTAAAGTGAATTGCTTGCTGCAAGTTTGATGGGACTAAAAAGAAGGAAAGTGAGGCTTAGAGAGGTAAAGTAATAATTCACTTAAGGTTACATAACTAAGAAGTGTCAGTGCCTCCATGTGGACTCAGATCAGGTGACTCTAGAGCTCATGTTCCTTATCACTGTGTTTGCAGCATAGCATGAAGACAGGGCTAAAGAAAGAAGCATATTCTTGGGCAATTGATTGAAGTTCTGTGTTAGCTGTAAGTTGTTTAAAAATTCTTCACTTTAAGCAGAGGAGTGTGTGTGTGTGTATGTACATTAACTTTAAACCCTAGAGGTGGTTAGTTTTTATTTGAATACCATAATCAGTAATTCAAATCCCCAGCATGGTAAATTAGCATTAAAGAATTCCAAACTTTGGAGGCCACTGTATCAAGCATCACCATCTAAATCTGCTCTTAGCAATAGGCCAATTAGCAAATTGACTTGGTCAAGAGGCCACAGGTACATCAGTATTGTAAAAGAGGTTTGTTGACTTTCAAAGAGCAGGACAGATAAATTCAAAAGGCCTCAATTCAAGATCCAATTCCATTTGTAGTTGGCTCTTTAATCTTTTGAAATCACCCGTCACCACCTCTGGACCCTTCTTTCCTTACATGTATAGTGGGGCTTTCAAAGAGCTAATGTAGACCAAATTCAATGCTATACGTTTAAACAGTAAGTAACACAATACTGTATGTAGATCTAGGGAGCCCAACACCACTGATAATCAAAATGCCATTAAGGGGGATGCAGAATATACATGTGATATAATCCTAAGGTATAAAATTAGGGGAATTACATATTATACACATATATGTGTGTGTGTATATATATATATATGTAAACAATCTAGACATAAACTGAAGAGTAGTTACTTTGAAAGCAGAAGATTGGGGTCATGGAGAGTGGGGAGGTCAGTGAGTATGGAAGGAGACTTTGCTTTTACTGTATGACCCTCTGTGATGTTTAAAATTTTCAAACTTTATATCTTGATCATGTTTACAATCGCTACATTTTTAATTTAAAAAGATTGTTTGTATCAGTGAATCTTGCCGAGAAAAAGAGGTGGTGATAGAGAAGAAGAGCAACAAATCAAAAGAGATTACGATTATATCGCAATAAAGCTGTTTTTTAAAAAGAGGATATGGATTTTAGAACACTAGAAAACATTGTCCTAAGCCATAGAAACCACTGTTTAAAACCTGGGTACAACTACATGTCATTAATGTGTCTTGTGCTGCTCAGGAGAGAGAAAAGCTAGAGGACCAGAGATTTGTATTAAGAAGTGACTTCTATTATTTAGAAAACTTATTATTTTAAATTTGTACTTATTTATTACATATTTAGGTATCTCTGAATTTAAATAAAATTCTTAATTTCATTCTGAAGATGCACTTGATAATGAAGTCAGGTAGTGAAAGTCTGATACCTTGTTTGGTGACTTCCTGCAACCCACCATGGGGAAGGTGCCCCCAATCAGGACTTCAGGTGCAGCCTGTGGTGTGCTAGGAGTCATCTGAGCTGAGTGTATTTAGCAGGAGGAGCACCAGGGTACCAGCAGGCTCACATTTCACTATATAAGCACCAAGTGAATGGGGGGGATCCTTGAGGGGCACACTTTGCCAGGAAGGTTCTTTCCAGATTTATCTTCCACTTTAAGTGTCTTCAGAGGATTTTTCATCAATATCTGGTAGTCCCTCAGTAACTCTAGTTTGGAACACACCTCAAGGTAGATTCAGCATATTACATTACCTGATTGAACATGAACTTGTCAGATTGTATGACCAGGAAGAGTTAATTAAGTGGAGACAGGGTGGTGAGGTTCACAGAAAGAGGTCAGGGCATCGGCAAGTAGGGGAATTGGAACAGAAATAGTCCAGTACAGATAGAGCAGCGGTTCTCAAACTTCAGCAGGCCTAAGAATCACCTGGAGGGCTCCTGACAAGAGAGATTGCTGAGTCCTAGACCCAGAGTATCAGATTTGTTAGATTTGGGGTGGGGTTTGAGAATTTGCATGTCTAACAAGTTTGCAGGTGATGCTGATGCTGCTGGCCCAGGGACCATGCTTTCAGAATCACTGAGCTTAAATGATTGGGAGGAAGATGGTGAGAATTGAATCTGGAGAGGAAGGGAGATTGTAGGCCAAGTTAAGAAACTTGAATTATATCCTAAGGGGCATTGGGAAGCCACTGGAAGTAACATGTTTTGGCAGGTGTTTTAGAAACATTGCTCCACAATGATGAGAGTGGATTATGGAGCAGGTGGAGCACTTACCTTTCCTGGAGGCTGGGAGATAATTGGAGGCCTTTCTGGGTGAGATATGTGAGGGTGACTGGAAAAGGTGAGGAGATTGTTTCTCAAAGTTCTTATAATTGTATGGTTTTGAGAAATGCTTAGGTGGAGGGACTGGCAGTTGGTTGGATATGAGCAAAGAGGTGGTGAGGGAGAGGGAGAAATGAAGAAAGGTGTCTAGGCTTGGAGAATCTGTTAAAGAGGGCTGTTTATATGGATATGGGGGCCAAGAAACAGAAGCAATATTAATAAAAATCAGGGAGTTCATTTTAAAAACAAAATTTAGAGAAATAGCCTCATTCTGCCACCCAGGCTTGAGTGCAGTGGTGTGATCATGGCTCACTGCAGCCTCTACTTCCCAGGCTCATGTGATCCTCCCACCTCAGCCTCTCATGTAGCTGGGACTACAGCAAGTATCACCATATATCTTATATATAATGCTGTAGTAATTTTTTTTTTTTTTTTTTTTTTTTTTACATGGAGATGGGGGTCTTGCTGTGTTGCCTGGGCTGGTCATGAACTCCTGGGTTCAAGTGACCCTCCTGCCTCAGTCTCCCAAAATGCTGGGATTACAAGTGTGATCCACTGTGCCCAGCTTCAGAGAGTCCATTTAAAGTTATGGTTTCCATTTTATATTATAGGAGAAGTCTGGAGAGTTTTCTAAAGTGGAGTGACAAAAGTCATGTTTATCCTAATCATCATTTTCAGGCCTTGAATCAATTCATGTAATAAATGTATTTTTTACATTAGCCCTTTCTTAAGAAAGGTCTGAATAATGTCTTCTGCACTCAATACTACCTGTGATGGGAGAACCAGGTTCCATGATTTTAAAAGTTTGAAAATATCCGTACTGCTTTCTCTTCTAAAGGAAAACATCCTTTCCTGGTGTTTTCAATCCCTATCAAGAATTGGATAATGGATGATTTAGTTATGAACTGGAAAAATAATTTCCTCCTTTACACATGAAGAACTCCTAGAAATTCATAGAACAAGGCCAACATCCTTGAAGGAAAAAAAAAAAGTTCACAAAAAAATAAATACAGATCTCCTTAAGTATCTCAAAGTGTAGCTAACTCATAAAAAGAGAATGAAAATTAAAATACACTAGAAGAAAAGTGCGGAAAAGCAGGCGCAGAAAGCTAAGAGAGAATGCTACTGGGATTCTCCCACCCAGCTCCTTCTCTCACACCCAGAAATTCTTCCCTGGAAAGCAGCATGAGTAATGAAAACTACAAGTAGTCACAGAAAGGTAGAAGGGGCTGGTGTGGTGGTGGGTTACTTTTAAGCTGTTACTTTTTCATTGCTTTGCTGAGAAGAGCAGATATTCACTAGCCTAGATTGGCTGTGACTCCAAGATAGGATTCAAACTGAGCAAATCGAAGTCCAGAGAAAATAATCAGCTTTATATGAGTTGCAATTAAGGATTAATCCATATGCAACATGAAAAAAATACTGTATTATAGCTTATATTTAATCTTACTCCTTGTATTAAGTATTCATGTTCACATTTCATCATTATAAAAGAGCTGAGGTTTTGTAAAAAGTAAAAAACAATTACTGTCACTAAACAGAATCTTGGAGTAAAAATAATTAACACGTACTCACACCTGTAAGACCTATATTCACCTCATGGTGTCATATCCCAATCACAGTTTCAGTTGTTTTCAACTGTTCAGCTCAGTATAAGATCAGAGAGAGGGCACCATAAATAAGTGCACAATATACTAACCTTGATACAATTCCTCATGGTCCAGAGAGGTCAGAAATCAGAGATTCTTATTTTTTTTTTTATTTCTAAGATAGATAATACACGTGCTTTTTATAAATTGTTTTTGTTTTTGAGACAGAGTTTGGCTCTTGTTGCCCGGACTGGAGTGCAGTGGTGTTATCTTGGCTCACTGAAACCTACCTCTGCCTCCCAGGTTCAACGGATTCTCCTGCCTCAGCCTCCCGAGTAGCTGGGATTACAGGCATGCATCACCACGCCCAGCTAATTTTTGTATTTTTAGTAGAGACGGGGTTTCTCCATGTTGGTCAGGCCAGTCTCGAACTCCTGACCTCAGGTGATCTGCCCACCTCAGCCTCCCAAAGTGCTGGGATTAGAGGCGTGAGCCACCATGGCTGGCCATACATGTGCTTATTAACTTACATATACTTTTGTCCAAATAAAAATTTTTTAAATACTTGCATGCTTTATTCAAAATACACTGTGAGCACATGTCTATGCTAATATTCTGTAGTATCATTCGAAGTGGCTATATTATCTTATAGAGGTGCCCTGATTTGGCTTTTAAAAATAAATATCCTCTGCAGAACACACTGTCAAGAGAATGAGAAGACAAGCAACAGACTGGGAGAAAATATTTGCAAAAGACATACCTAACAAAGGATTGTTATTCAAAATATTCAAAGCACTCTTAAAACTTAATAAGAAAACAACAATAAAAAAAAGATTTTAAAATGAGCCAATGGTACAAACAGGCAGCTTATCAGAGAAGACATACAGATAGCAAACGAGCATAATAATGTTCAACATTATATGTCATCAGGGAATTGCAAATCAAAATGAGATACCACTTCATAACAGTATAATCTAAAACACTGACACCACCAAATGCTGGCCAGGATGTGGACTAACAGGAACTCTCATTCACTGCTCGGTGCAAATGCAAAACAGTGTAGTAACTTGGAATAGTTTGGCAGTTTCCTTCAAAATTAAACAACTTCTACCATATGATCCAGCAAATTGTACTCCCCAGTATTTTTTGAGGGGGTAGTGAAAGAGTACAGGTGTAGAGTTGTTACCTGGGTATATTGCATGACGCTGAGGTTTGGGATATGGATGGTCCTGTCAACCGTGATGAACATAGTACCCAATAGTTTTTCAGCCCATAGCCTCATTCTCCCTCCTGTCTAGTGGTCCCCAGTGTCTCTTTTTCCCATCTTTGTCTGTGTATTCTATGTTTAGCTCCCACTTAAAAGTGAGGACATGCAATATTTGGTTTTATGTTCTTGCATTAATTTGCTTAGGATGACCTCCAGCTGCATCCATGCTGCTGCAAAGGACATGGTTTTATTCTAAAATTTGTAATAAATGCAATAGAAACCAACTTTGTTTTATGCCTACTGTATTCCAGTACTTTTTATAAATGTAGCTTTTTAGATATTCATTGATATAATCTCATAAAATCTAAAACATCTAGTTCTTCATTTGGATCCCTAGGTCTGCAATATTTAATCTTGCTATATTCATCTGTGACTTAGCATTTTCCCATGGATAATGTAAACAAAAAAGAAAATTATTTTAGCATGAAATAAATCCAATACAATATGTAACAAACTAGGTAAATATATAAATAACAACACAGGCCAAATGGATACAGGCCAAATTTAAGACTACTACTGAAATTTACATTTAAAAGCCATTAAATGATTCATCTAAAAGCAGAACTCAAACTGATATCTACAAAACACGAAGAAACTGTGTACATTAGGAAAAAGTGAGTAACAAAATACTAGTTCGTTGTATGGCAGTAGTATCCTGTAGTGGTTAGTGGTACAGGCTCTGACATCAGAAATAGACTGAACATCTGTGAAATGTTAAGTGATATAATATCAATACTTACAGCTGCAATTAGGATTAAATAAGATAACAAATGTAATACTTTCCGTGCATTGTTTGGCATATCGTAATTAACTGACAAATATTTTCATGATGATAGGGAAAAAGTATGAGAAATGAAGTACTTTGATAAATTACAATGGAAAGAAACACATGAAAGTCTCTCTAGGGCTCATGATGATTTTATAGGAGGTACAGTGAGCAGAAAAACTCTCCTTCTGTGAGCTGCTGCTGCTTAAGCACGTGGTCACGGACAACTGACTTCATCTCTCCTGACTTTAGTTCACAGTTCTGTTCAATGAGGAGGTGGCATGACCTTCCTGTCCAAACCCTTATTTCCTCTTTGTATCTAAAGTGGACTCCCATTAAGGAAGACAGCTGATGGAAGCCTCCTTAGGAACTGGGAATTTGAGTTGCAATATGTCATTGATTTTTGTTGTTGTTATGTCAAATTAAGCGTCCATTCACTTTCGGCTTTCCACAAGAGAAATTAATATGGCCATGCCTGACTATCCAAACTCCATAAGGAAGCAGCTGCTTTCCCATTTCTCCTAGGCGTATGCCTTGAGAATTAAACACAGACAAAACTGGGATTTTTAGTTAGTCTTTAATATAACTCCAACTTTTTAATGGTAAACAAAGATGTAAGTACAAAACATCAGAATACGTTATTATCAGTAGTTCTACACAGCCATAGTGGTCACAGTGCCAGAACTGAGGTCACTCACATGTTAAGGAAATATAATTCACTCTATTTCAGTGGAATCCGTGTTCTGGCAGTTAGAATGCAAAGGTGAGGCTTATTTTGTGCAAAATGTATTCACTTTATTCAAAAGCAGCTTTCTTTTCTCTCCCTTGCTTGGCATTTTAAAGAACCTGTTCATTTTTCTTTTTTGTTAAAAGTGCTCTAAGAACTAAAAGGGCCGTTCCTTATTGGAATAAAATTAACTACACATGCCATACATTTCTGGGTCAATGTTGCTAATTCCCTCAGAATTAGCAATTCATAGAAAATTAATTGTTAAGTTATTGCACTTTCATGCCAAAAGTACAATTTAGAGTTCACAATACAAGGCTCTGTGGTATAAAGTGCCTATGAGCAACTTCCCATCATACACTGAGGCTACAGAACTTCCTTGGAGAACAGAACCATTGTTGGCATAAACTGTAGTCACCGTAGGCTTCTCAGATAGAATGTTCTGGATGCGGAGAACCTATTCAGGGGATACAAAGTATTACTATAAGACCACCATACATGCATGTCACTCAATCGCCAATAAGCCCTGTTTTCCACAATGACACACTGATTAAGGGGACATGCTGTTGAAAATAGCAGTTACCAATTTTTTAATGTTTAAATTGAAGTACTTTCTCCAGTCTTCAAAGAAAGTACTTTCTTAAACCATCTAGTTATTCCATGCCAACACAGGATTTAGTGTTATTATAGCAATTCAGCTTTAATAGAAATACTTTCATACTAATATGCCTACTTTCACACTACTTCAACATGAACAAATATCACATCATGTGGTGAGCTGACAATAAATCAGATATTTTAAAAATTGTCAGTATACCACCCAAGAAGGGCACATGTCTTTATAAAAATGCCTTTTGACTAGTTTCCACCATAATTTAATACATCAAAAGATTACCTTTCTTAAAGTATTTGAACAATGTAACATTCTGTCAATTATCGGCTTAAAGCAATTACAAAACCACGACATAAGTTTATTATTGCTTTAAAATAACTAAACAAATCATCCCTGTGACAATTTATTGTACTGTTAGTTCAAAAGGACTTGAATAATTAAGGTTGAAAAACTAAAAATATAAAAACCTCTGATGAGGGAGGATTGTTCGGGTCATACACGAAGAGCTTCTGGCCATTAGGATGACAGCCTACCCAAATGTCCCCCGAGGAAGGATCAATAGATAAATTATCCACCAGTGTATCCAGCTCAAGTACCTTCCAAATGAGAAATTGTCAATATCTAAATGACATGAGAAACTTGATTAAGTAATTTAGAGGTAACCTTCCTGCCTCTATACATGTGAGGAAATTACACATCGCCCTGCTTCCACCCTTTAACACCAATATTGCTTAAAAGGAACTTATTAAAAACTGGTATTGAGTCGCTTCTTCCCTGAAACTAAGAAAGTTAGGGTGATAATCAGTCTCTCTAAAAATGTCTCTTAAAAACTGAACTCCTTTTCCCTTAAAAGATGCACAATGATCGGTTAGCTCAAGGAACTCTATCAAAGCAAGATAGGAAATTCTTACCCTAAAATATGTGTTGTTGAGTAGGAAGAAAATAATAATGGTGTGGAACCCAATTTCTACCTTCATTTATTATTGAAAGAACTGACACTGTGCATAAATCTTCATTTGAGAATGCATCTATTAGAGTTTTCAATTGTGAAAATTCTTATTGGAATTCTTCCACTGCCATCAATACTTCATGGAATGGGCCCTAAATCTGATACAAATATCACTCTCAACCTGCTGCTGCATGTAATCATGGTCAGTCCTTGTGATCGCTGGAAACAGGAGCTTTCTCTAGTTGTAGGGAGTATTTAAAAACCCAGAATAGCTACACTGGCATCCATATTTTGTTCTACATGTGGTACTCTTATAGAAAAACCATGTCATTGCAAAGCACAACAGATTACTGTCTATAGGTAAAAATAAATATTTTACCTTCAATTGAGTTAAATTCATATTAGGGTGTTTTTCCAAAACATGAATTTCATGAGCCAATACGTCAGCAACATAGATATACCTTTGCAGAAAGGACACACTGGTTAGAGCTCCATGCCAATATAAAGCCTCACTAATACAGTATGAAAGAGTAAGTCTTAATAACCTGCCAAAAAGTTAATCAATCATGGGCCCCCAAGGAATCCTTGATAAAGGTCAATTTTTATTTAAAAAGTAAGCTTTCAGAATCAATTCAGTGGTGCTACAACAATCTGAAATTATTAAACTGTTTTTCAAAAAGCTTGTAAGGAAAAATAATATAGAACATCATTTTGAATATGAAGTCTATATTTGCCACTGAAATGACAATAAAACAAACGCTTGGCTTCACAAGAAAAGCTTTTACATTCCACAATATAATTTGACACTTCTAAATATCATGTACATATAGAAATATATGGTAAAGAAACTCTTATTAAAATGGTGATTATTCCTTAATATTCAATAAAATATTTATTAATACATAGAGAATTTTAAGAGTAAGAGATAAGTATCAGTTCAGAATAATCTGTCTACATCAAAGGTGAGTGAATTAATGGACTATTTTGAGGTAACTTTATTCATTGAATTGATTGTTTCATGGTACCTGTTCTATTGAGCAATTATCATGTGTAAAAAGCCATGAACTCAAGTGTTGTAGCAGATATAAACATGAAGAAGACACAACCTCTCTCCTAGAAAGTTTATAGTATGTTGGAACAATCTCACTGGTTTGTACACATTAAACACCTAATAAGCATGAGAAATAGTTCAGGTCTAGAAATAGCTAACTTCTGAGGACACAGAAAAGCTCACCAAGGAAGGGGCATCTGCAGTGGCTATGTAAGGAGAGACGAGATTTGAGGAGATGAGGACGGAGGAGGCACTTCCCAGGAAGAAGCAAGCACAAGAGCAGAATCACAGGAGCAACAAGATGAAGGAATGTTTAAAACAATGAGTTCTTTGTCTAAAGCATAGAAAGCATGGAAACAGTAAAAAGGGAGGTTGGAGCTGGCCTATGAAAGTTCAACCCTTTACTCTGCCTTGATGTGAAAAGCAATTGGATTCCACTGAAATCTTAGAATAATAAAGTGGCAACAAATGGTCAGTTCTGTTCCACAATTCCTGAGCATTTGCTTTGTGCCTGGCACTGTGCTGGCATGAGGGGTCAAAGGTGAGGAAGACAGAGTTCTCCCTTTGGGGAGCCCTTCAAGGCTAATAGACATAGAAAGACAAAATTGGCAAGAGTGCAAAAAATCCAAGTAGACAGAAAACAAATTGGAAGAAAGTCTCATATGCTAGTCAGAGAAGATAAGAACCTAAACTAGGCAGGTCTCAAAGGGAAAGGAGTTTGGGGGTAGAGGAAGGAGGCAGAGGTAGAACCAACAGGACCTGCCTACAGGCTGGATAGGAATAGTGAAAGAGGAGTAAAAGCTGAATCCCCCTTTTCATTGTTGTTATTTTTTTGTTAGGTTGGGTGACTGGAAAGTTTGACTCTCATAATGGAAATATAAGAGTGAAAAACAGACTTGGCTGCAGAGGTTGGATCAGGTCAGTTAGAGACAATTTAAATTAAATGATTCCACATTCTTTTTCTATAGTCAACAAGAAAGGAGGAGAAACTAGATCACAAAAATAAGGGCATTTAGTTGTCAAGGAGTGCCAAATTTATTTTATGTTGTATTTGTAGTAGTTTAAATTTTTCAGTGTGCTGAGGCAGTAGATAAGAAAGCTAATAAAGAATTTAATATCTTCTCTTATAGGTTGTGGTTGCACATATAAAAATAATGAGATAATTTTGGAGGACAATTTGGCAATATCTATTAAAGTTAACATTTAAAAGAATCACACTCTTTGAGAAAATCGTTCTATTTCTAGGGGTCTGTTCTGCAGAAAATTAGCTCATAGAACCATTTAGCCAGTGCCGTCGGTGGGATTTGAACCCAAGCCTGTATGAGTCAAAAATCTGCGAGTTTAACCATTATGTTTTAATACTCTCTTAGGGCTGGGTGCGGTGGCTTATGCCTGTAATCCCAGCACTTTGGGAGGCTGAGGTTGGCAGATCACCTGAGGTCGGAGGTTCGAGACTAGGAGACTAGCCTGACCAACATGGAGAAACCCCATCTCTACTAAAAATACAAAATTATCCAGGCATGGTGGCGCATGCCTGTAATCCCAGCTACTCGGGAGGCTGAGGCAGGAGGATCACTTGAACCCACGAGGCGGAGGTTGCGGTGAGCTGAGATCACGCTATTGCACTCCAGCCTGGGCGATGGAGTGAGACTCCATCTCCAAAAAAAGAAACCCTATCTTAGGGACTTTTTCTTTAAAAAAAAAATACCTGTTTAAACTTCCATGGTACATAAGAAGTATACAACTTTTTTATGTAGAACTCCCCAACCCCATACACATATCCATCAATAGAGAATTGGTTAAATTAGTTTAAGATCATCCTTATAATGGAATAATATATATATATAATGGAATATATAGCCAACAAAAATAGTAACACATTTATTTGAAAGGAAATACCTGATACTTCAATATGTATGCATCAGTATGATCACACTTTAAAATTCATATTTATAAAATTAAATTTGACAATGATGTATTCCAAACTTTATATATTATATGTAAATACACACATATTATTGTATTATATAGTATACTTACATATATGGTGTTATATTTGCATATAAATAATGTGACTAAGTATATATTATATGTAAATATATATACAAAATATACATAATTTATATATAGTTTATCTACATATTATATGTATAATACACCATAAATGTCAAGGAAACTATTTTCACATTGACAAAGAAAGCAAGGTAAAGAATTTGGCCAGCACCACAACTGAAGAAAAATGAAGATATTCTATAAGGGGCCGTACTTATTATCAGGTGAAATATTGATTCCATTTGCTGAATCAAATCCTTCTGCTACCACTTTAACTTCATTGGGACTGTAGTAAACAACATTTGCCCAGTGTAAGTTCAAGTATGTTTCTAAATACTTTAAGAAAGGATCAGAGAAGTAGTGGTCATTTGTGGCATAGAAATGTGCCGGTCCAACAGCTGTGATGTCATTCACACTGAAAAAGAAAAATAGCATGTGAGAGGAAATAAAAGGCCTGTTAGTCTCCATATTAAATATTAAGTACTCATATGATTTACATAACATGTGCTTTAAATTTTTGGTAAGAGGAAAAGATGAGCTGAAATCACATGAATATATTCATATACAATATACTATAATATTGTTGCCAGAGAACAATTTTGTATGGTACCAGGTAATCTGAACACAGGTCATTTAGCAATTATGGCAGGATTACTATAAAAGAAGAGGGAACTTAGTGCCATCAAGGCATGTTTTTTGACAGCCAGAAATGTAGAGTTTAACAATTACATGTAAGGACAGAGCTGTCCACAGTACAGAGCTGGAGACAGCCTGATTGGCTGATGAGCTGGTTAGGCAGTCAGTAACCTTTACCTAGCTTCCATTCACTCAGTTCCTGGATTTTTCTAATTTCCCTTGCTTAGTTATTAGTCAAACTAAGGTTGACTGTTCAATTTCTACCTGCCTCACAAAGCTGACATGCCGAGAATGAATAGGCACTCAATAAACACCTGCAGAGAGATGGATGATGAAATTGCCATAGTACAATGCTTCAGGTGAGAGATTTATATGCTTAAAAACAATTTCATTTTTAAGACCAGTTAGGCAAGGGTTTTATTAAATTTAAATTCCAATTACTCTATGCAAAAATTTCTGAAAGAGCTGCTTTATTCTTTGCTAAATGAAAAATACAGAGCTATGGGGAACGTAGGTCTCCTTTTTCTAAAAGAGCACCATAATGCTTGGATGGTATGTATGCTCCTATTTTTTTTTATCAAGTGCATTTTTGGAAGGAATGATTGGAAGTTACATGCTTATGCCCTAGATAGGCATAGATAGGCCCTAGATAGGCAATATTTTTAATTTCATTAGAAATTAAAAATATTCATCGAGTTTAAAGTAAAAGAAACCGTAGGCTAATATACACTGAACTGGGAGTAGGGGTACACATGATTCTCTTTTAGCCACATTTTCAACCAGCTTTATGTTCTTGAAGTGTAATGACCCACTCTCAACTTGAGTGGCCCTAATTCTATGGGATTACTAGCATGCAACCACCGCTAACCCTATGAAAGCAATTGGTATAAAGTCCCATGCAAAGCATACAAACCCAATAAAAAAGAGGCCACTCTTCCTTGGCAAGACACTCATCTGTGTGATAAGTCATCTAAGATGGAGGATGACAGCAGGAAAAAATGTTAGGGTTTGCCTTCTACCCTCAAGATGGGCCTGAAGAGTATCACCCCATAGTCAGGCACTTCATCATTTCTCAAAGGAGTTAGCATAGAACAGTGAATAGTATGAGTGACATCAACTTTCATATGCCGGGCTCGCCCTGGTTTATAAGGAAACTATATACACACACATATATAAATAAAGAAATATAAGCTCTTTAGCTCTTACATATTAGCTAATATATACACTGGCACTTATAAAAGATGGCAGGACAATCCACCATGGGGATTGTTTGAAAATGCTGGGGATAAATTAGAGAAGGAACAAAATGAGAAAATACCTTGGAAGAAGCTCATGTTTGACTGTTTTCAGATGCAACAGAGAATTTTCTGCTTCTTCAAATTTAAAAATTTCCACTGTATTCTTGAATTCTGGGTGGTTTACAACAAAGAGATAAACTGTGTCATCTAAAGAATTGAAAGAACAGAGTTAATTTACAAGACATAACCACGGGACCTCTGGGCAGACACTGACATTTAAATACCACAGGCAAAGGTTGAATGTATAAGCTGTTGGACGACCTAACAGATCATTCTCTGTCTTTCCTATTGCTGTCTGTCTGGTGTTATTTCTGATCATTGGTTCCCTGACCTTTAAGAAAGTGTTTCCTACTCCATATACAGAATTCATGCATAATCTGTTTCTAGTTTAATTCAAAAATACAGTTCTTTTTTAAATGCAATGATCATAGATATATGAAAAGATTATGACATATAAACAATCTTTCAGATGTTACCTGTTAGAAATTTCAAAATGTAGCATAACTTACTGCCAGCTGAAGAGGCAAATGAACAACTTCTTTGCAATGAAGAATACAGAAATCATTCATGAGTTAATTGTTCTTCTCTTCCTATAAATATGATTCGAATCTATTTTCACAGTCATTTGTGAACTATCACACATTACTGAACATTGGTAGCTCATTGGCTCTTACCGTTGTCTATGAAAGTGCTGATGCCATGTGGATTGAATGAGGCCAAATCAAACCCACGGCTGATTCTTAATTCCCGTGCCCTCGGTTTTTCTTCTTTTAGATCCATCATTAGTATTCCTCCAGGCTTATCTGGTGCAAAGCTGTGGAGTCCTGGGAATTTTAGACCCTTTCCAAAACAGTGAAAAATGTTAAATACAAAAGCTTAAGTAA